ACCAGGAGTATTTAAGAGCAGTCCCTCACCACAGACACCAAGAGTCTAGAGAAAAGGTGATCAGTCAGCTTTCAAGCTTTTCTCCATAAAGGATCCCCTCGACCATCCGCTAGGCTAGCGCTGCCCACACAGCACTCACGCATGTCTTCCTCTCTAGGCCTTAAAATGATCCTCTATTCCAGTCAGAAGTCCTATGTGCTCAGTGCTGTTCTTACCACTCTGCAGGAAAATTAGAAGCAAGGCGTCCTTTTCAACTTACATTAAATTGGGAAAGATGGAGCACTCCTCATTAAAGTGTAATTTTCGGGAGGAGGCCTGTTGACCCAACACAGTGAATGTCTACTACTGAAATTTCAAGCCACAGCGTGGTGCTGCAGGAAAGATTTTTGAGCAGGGAGAGCCTGCTCCAGGTACATTAGGCAACAAACTGTCATATCAATTCATACAACTGGTTCTGCCCATCTGCATAAAACCGCCTAGTCTACACTGGTTTTTTCCAACACTTTTAGACTATTCTCAGAGTCACAGGCCAAACAATTCTCCTTGCCACCAGAGTAACAATAAACTCCCACACATTTCCAAAGGTTCACTGGGTCTCCCTCTGGCCATCTCAGTCCATCTTACCTCCCATACCAGTAAGGATTCTATCTGGCTTTGTATAACCAGAAAACTCCCAAATGACAGTAATATAGTAGATGTTTAATCTTCTCTCAGGTAAAATAATTCTAGAGTTGGAGAGTCTAGATTTAATTTGATGGCTCAATGAAGCCCTCGGTAACCTGAACCCCCTTCTAGATCTCTTCTCCACTATCACTACCAAGTCTTCATGGTTAAATGTGGCTGCAGGTGCTCTAGCCAATGCATCCACGTTCCAGACAGCAAACGGTGTAAGACAATGAAGAAAAGGAGAAAGACATGCAAGGAAGTCTCATATATCACTTCCATTTATATTTGGGCAGAATTTAGTCACATGGCTACTCTTTATGTATGTGTCTGTTACCTAGTGCCGCATAGCAAACAACCACAAAATTTCTGCAGTGTACAACATTAGGGTTTATTTTTAAATTGACAGCATGCTGTTAAAATGTCCGCATTGTTCAGCACATCAAGCATTATTCGCACATATCTGCAGGTTGGCTAAGGTTCTGCTCATCCTGGCTGGCCTCAGACAGGAAGTTCTCAGACTGCAGGGATTGAGCGGATTCTACCCTGTAGGTCTGTGCTTCAATTCAATGACTCTGTCCCTCTCTTTCATCCTCCTTGGGCCAACCCACCCGCCAGCCAGGACATGTTCTTCTGAGGGTGCGAAGAGCAGGTGGAAATGGGTGATGCCTGTTAGGGTCTAGACACAAAACTGGCACACTGCCACTTTGGCCCATACACTCTTGGCCAAGGCACAGGCTCAGGGGCAAGCCCAGCGTCAAGGAGCAGGACGTATAATCCTCCCATGGTCATGCAGGTAGTTAGACAGTGGAGCGCTTGGGGTTACAAAGGGGGTCAAAAATAACATGTTTGCCAGTTACAGCTAAATGAAGAGAGCTTCGTTTACTATACGCTTATAGCTAATTCAAGAGACCTCAATGTGTAATACATTTATAATCATTCCAAAATAACCCCTAAGAGAAAAAGGTATCCAAACTCTGACTCCGGATAGAAGTCTTTGTGACACTGCCTGTCATCTTACTTGAAGACAGAACTCTCTCCATGTCTGCTTTACAATAAATTCTACCTGTACTTCTGCATGGCTGCCTTTGTCTCTTGAATGAAATCTTTCAACAAAGGCACAAAGAACCAGAACCAAAGAGCAACGACCTGGTTCCTCATAGAATCACATCCCAGCTTCCCGGTGGGTAACACGGTGATGAAGACATAGCAATGGCGGGATTCAGAGTAGGGTGAAGAAATGGAGCCAGGTCAAGCTAGCAGGTCTTGCAGGGAGTCTAGAAATGTCATGTTTTGGTTACAGCAGAGGTGTTGCTAAAGAAGGGAAGGACAGGAATCTCTCAGAGGCAGTTATCATAGCGCCCCACACTCTCTCACGTTGTATCAACTTTGTGAAGTACAGACACTCTCATAGTTCAAATTCACTGTTATTCTTATCCTCACCCTAAGACAGTGGAGAATTGAGAGCCACTCATAAGAAGGCAAGAACAGGGTGTGGGGCTGCACATCGAGATTGTCACGGGCTTTCCTTCAGCAGCTTTCCCCACTTTGAAGCCAGTGAGGAAGAATGGTTTTTTTGAAAATACAGCATCTTGGGCCGGGGATTTAGCTCAGTGCTTCCGCCGCCTGCTTTGCAAGCACAAGGTCCGGAGTTCGATCCCCGGTACCAAAAAAAAAGATAAATACATACATACATACATACATACATACATACATACATACCTACACAGTGAATCACTGCCTGACAAGAATGTGATTCTGCTTCAGGGTTGATCCATACTACACACGAGTCATTAATTCCTCCTGATCCTGCTAGTGTAGGAGACGGGGATGGCCTAAATGACTTGCATCATCAAAATTCTCATAGAATTGCGAATTATACTGAAAGGCAAGAAAAGAGTGGCATAAACCACACATGGACTCAGCTTTAGAGAACAGAATGTGTGATCGGAGAAGTTAATCCAATTTTTGTAAAGTTGAGCCACTTTAGGTAATTTTTTTTTCATTAAGTTTATTGGTACATTTTAAGTGTACAACACAGTTATAGTCATCATTGGGAACTTGTACTTTTACATGATGTATCTTGGTTCTTATTTTTCCTCCCTCCCCCTGCCCTCTCTTCAACCCCTCCATCCCTCCCTATTCACAAAGACTTTGTTTCCATTTTTTCCTTTTCTCATATTTTTTCCTTTCCTCTACCTCTACCACTTCCCCTACCCCTTTAGACCTTTTCTTCCTATTTCACATTATCAATTATACATTTTGTTCCTTATTTACACTTTCAGCTTCTCACACCAGAGAAACTATTTACAGGTGTGTCCTATTTCACTTAAGAGGATGGCCTCAATGCACATCCATTTAGCTATAAATGTCTCTAATTTCTCATTCTTTATGGCTGAGTAGTACTCCCTTTTATTGAAAACCACATCTGCTTTATCCAGCCTCCAGTTGATGGGCACTTGGGCTGCTTCCAAGCTTTAACTATTACAAACTGTGCTGCTATGAACATGGGCGCACACATATCGCTGTGGTATGATTCTTTTAATTCTTTGGGGAAGATCCCCAGCAGGGGGATAGCTGGGCCAAGTGGATGAGCCACTTGAAAGGCACTAGAGGAGCTTTCAATTGCAAAGCCTCACACCCCCGACCCCTACTGTGACTCTTAGGACAGCAACCAAGCCGCCCACTGCATCATTGTGTGAATTGTGTTGTGAGAGGATCTTTGTCTTGGATGGGCTTGAATTAATGCCCTTGCAATGGGGAGAGTCTGAACCCCTGGTTCCTGGAAAAAGGTCTAGAGAACAGAGTGAGAGACTGACTCAAAGGGCCAGGAGAAAGCACCTGCAAAGCCCAAGGAGAGGAGCAGGTGTCAACTAAGGACAAGACAAAAGCCTGGGTGGAGCAGGTCAGCGCAGTCCCCATAGCAGACATCGCACAAGCTCCTCCCGCAGACCCTGCTGCCCTCCTGCCAATCACAGTAGGTTGGCACTGCCATGGTGTGTGACCACCAAGCTTCCCACACCTGACCTTATCCTCATTTAGGAGAAGACTGGCTCAAAGGGTTATAAAAACACAACAGAGGACCTCCAACTGGAATAGCGTGCGCCCAGCACGTGCTTCGAAATACTCGGAAGAAATGCCACTCGGAGTGCGCAGAGCGGCAAAGAGAGGAGACGGAGGTGGTAACTGCGGAACCTGAATGATCCCGGCCCAGGTGCTCATCGTTCGTTTCCATCCGATTTTATGCATAGCTGAGCACTTGCAGCACAGAAAGTTTTAAAAACACAAGGAAGAAGGGAGTCTCAGGAACAAGACAGAGGGCAATGAGCTGGCATCGAGCTCTGACCCCACGGAGCAGTCTCGTCTCTCCAGAGGACCCTTGCTGGGAAGATGAGACCCGCCGCTGAGCTGGCTGTATGCTGCCTTGTGCGCCTGCTGAAGTGCAGTTTCGTGTGTGTGAGCTGCCTTATTATGAGCTTCTCCCGGAACAGAGCTGGGCCACAGGATGGACCATTACGCTCTTGGTGTAGGGATTTCAGCATTGGCCTTGAGGGCTTTTCTGTTCCCACCAAGGGTGGCCCGGATCACCCCTGTAGCCTGCCAACGCCGTGGAGGCAGTGCAAGTGTGTAGGATGCACCGGATGACAGAATCAAGCTGCTAGGTCAGCACAACAGACAGGAGACCACGGGTCACAGGGTTGCAGGGTGCCGTCGTCTCTGGGCAGGGAACATGGCAGCTCCCCAAAGACAGGGATGGCATTGGTTTCTTTCTTGAACCTGGGAGTCATCCTAGCAGGCTCTGAGTTCCTTGGGATCTGGGACCGCTCTATTTAATTTTGCCTAGGGCAATGCAGGAGCTTCGGAGATCATAATGAATTGGAATAAAGCTGAATTGAAAATGGACAAAATAATCATTAAAATACATTAAATCATTAAAATAATCATTCAAATAACTTGCTCGGTCTCCTTGTGTAGACCTCAGATCTACCCACATTCTCTCTCCCTCTCCCCTCCTCTTCCCCCCTCCTCTCCTTCATTCTCTCTCTCTCTCTCTCTCTCTCTCTCTCTCTCCTCCCCATGAAGGATAATTAATAATTCAACAAACAATAGTGCATTCTGGTGGTTAAGAATATAACAATTTCATTGATATGTGTTTCTGCTACAGCACAACAATATCTCATTTTCCCAGGAGGGCAATTTTCCATGGCTGCTCCAGGTTTCTCACAATAAAACCAATCAATCCTGGAAAAACCTGAAGGCCATTTGTTAAGAAAGATGTTGGGTAATGGGCTTGGAACAGACACAATCTCGCAATCATTATGTTTTAAACACTGACATTTATTTAGGGTTTTGTGGACTCATACATTATTAGGATAAATTCTAATTTATATCTGTATGTAATATGCAAATATATAATACATTAAGTTGCATTTATACACATAAATACAAAATTTGAGGTAGGGCCTCAAGAATGACTTTGCAAGTAAATAATGCACAGAATATAATATGTACTCTAGAAGGTATCTATGATGTGTCATTTGTAACATAACATATATTCTTCATGTACAGTTAATGAAAAAATAGAAAGACCTGATTAGCGAACATATCTTTATTCATGTGCAACAGTATCCACATAAGATGCTTGCATTTAGGATATTATCCAAGTACACAATTTAAGAAGTAACCTATTCCCTGATAGGTCCATAATAAAGTGCAAAAATGACCAACAAACGAGAGAGAAAACAATTCCCAGTGAATTACTAAGTATCACCTTAACAACAAAATACACCTAGCAGGCAAATAGTCTCCTGAAGATGTATTTCATCCATGGCAGGCAAATCAAACCACTGGTCGCTTTTCGAGATGATGAACATTCAGTCTGCAAACACTTTCTCTCTGGCTGCAGGCCACTCAGATGCAACCTGGGCAGAGACCACAATTGATAATTCCTTGGCCTTTCCAGACAACCACAGTGAAATCTGGGCAAGACAGGAAGCTTCACTTTTCAAATCTCAGGGCCACTTTGTGGGAAAATGCATATCAAGATGGAATGGCCTGCCTCTGCTTCCAGCCTGCAAGTTTTCTGCGTGATACCCAGTGTGAAACACAGGAGACACTCATTTGTTGGCCTTGACCTTTTGTCCCTGCAAGACAACCTGCCGTGCAGCGTACTCTCACCCAAGCTGTCTGCCTCCAAGGACTGCATCACAGATGCACATCTAGGAGCGACCACCGCGGTGTGATTCTGCCACCACCCATACTGAGCAACAGTTTTGGTAAAAGCCTCTGGGACGGGGACAGTGACTGAGAGCCAGGGACAAGAGAAGAAAGAAAGCTCTACTTTTAGGCATGGGGAAACCACGCTGACAGAAGAAGGTGGACAAGAAGCAGAGGCACACGTAGATAACAGGACAGAAACATAAACAAAACTCAACTCCCAACCCCACAGTGGCATAAAGGCATCTCAAGTCTTACCCAAAGATCATTTCATTAAACTCTTCGTAAGATGCTGCTCACTGCAATACAAGCTGATTACATTTCTTACATATTAAAAACTCATCGGAAATTTCAAAGGCGTTGAGGTCATTCAGATTTTGCATTGATCACAGATTTCATGCAATAAATAAATATATTAGAAAAAAACAATTACTAAAGACACATTTGCACATCACAAACTCAGCACGTGACAAAAAGATTAAAAGTTACTAATATACAAGACAAATCTCTGCATAAGAAGCCGCAATACCAGTAGTCAAGAAACATACATGTTTTTCTCTTTTAAGGAAATTACGGGGTTACTGATTTTCAATATGGCTTGTTTTTCTCTGAATAGGTTTCTGACATCTGTTGATATTAGGAAATAATTTCACAGGTGGAAAATGTCCCAACCACTCTGCACAGTGACCCAATGAAAGCCTTTCCTAAGCAACTCAATTTTCCCCAGTTTGAAGGGAACTCTTCGGGTGGTAGGTTATAACCATGCTACTCATTTTATTTTTATTCAGTTGGGGGTTTTTTTCCTTCCAATTAACTGCACATTTTTAATAGCATGGAAGCAAGCCGTCTGGTCAGATACATCTCAGCTCTGAGCATCCCAGCCAAGTCTGTGGGAAGCATCACACTATGGACGAAAGACGTCTGGACACATCTGGGAAGCTGGACCCTCCTGCCAGAGAAAGCCTCAAATTCCAACGTGGCTATACAAATTGACAAAACTAAATTTAAAAGCTCATCATTTCCAGCTAAGTTTGGAACCATTCACCTGAGCAAGTCTCTTTAAGCAAACTGTATATGAAATTTGAAAACTGTAGGGCACAGAGGTTGGTGGGGGAGGCTAGCTATTTAGCAGGCCACTACTGGGTTTTGCTGGGCAAATCCTAATACACACAAATGCAGTATAGCTACCCCCAACTGCAAAACACACTACCTAATGAGGAGGTCTCCAGTCTCACAACTGAGTTAGTTTTCAGTTTGTAAATGGCAGCATTCATGGGGCCTCCCCCTCCTTGTAGTCACAAAAGCAATAATTAGCAGAAATAGGTTTGGTGTCCAGGGTCAGGCTCAGTTTCAGCCAGGAGGCAAAAGGAAAGCCAAAACCCATTCATCCTGACATGAACAAACTAATCCCCTGGGAGAATACTAATCAATTTAAGATCTTTTCTTCCACCTTCGGATTGGAAAGGCTGCAGATTATTTCCAGACCCAACCTATTCCTCCCTCCTCTCTTCCAGACATCAATTGTTGAGGCTAATTTTTGGTACCACCCTGTGACATCTGGTACGGAAACGGGCTCCTCATCAATATGGCTTTCTTGGGGGAAATTTGATGGCAAACAGGTCATGAAGGCAAACCCTGGACAGGCAAGACCACACCTCAACTTCCTGAAAGTGAGCTTAGGAGAAACTCTGGGGTCATTTTCTGTGAAAGTGTCAGCCAGGTCCAGCTCTGGGAGACAAGGGGAAGAGGACAGGAAGAGAGAGGGCAAACCTACTGCAGCCAAGACATGAAAATCCCACATTCAAACTTATCTGTTTCTTTTCCCAACACCTTTCCCAGGCTACTCTGGAAACCCAGACAGTCACAGCCTTGTAGGCAAATGGTGAGGCTCTTTGCCCTAAAAAAGGAAGGACTTGGGAAAAAATAGTTCAGACACTTCAGATACAAATGAAGCCATCTTTTTAAAATGTTAACACTAAAGACTGTTGTTGGGTTTCATTACTGTTGAACAGGATGAAAATGCCATGTCAATATACAAGATTTGAGCTGAATATTTTGCCTGAGACCCTGTAATATGAAGACAAATGAGCAAGAAAATGATTGAAATGGTCTCCCCTAAAGGAAACAATTTTAGGGTTAGATATTAATATTATAAAGAAAAAAAAGCACAGACTACACTATTCTAAACTCACTGTCTCTATAGTGATTTCTAAGATATCTATAAGGACAGAAAACACCACTACGAGTACACATTACATAAGTACATATCACATTTAAAAAATTTCATATATGCATGTTCAGGATACAAGAAGAGAATAAAGGTTACGGCTTCTCCAATCTCTGCAGAGATATGATTCGCTCTCATTAGAGTGCAGTTACAATGAGCACTGTGAATAGGAAACTCTTAAAACTGAATTGGCTAAATGTAGTCTTAAAAGCTATAGTCTTAACTGGATCGCTCACTACTTGCCTAAACTGCATTTATCAGAAATTTCTGTAAACACAGACCTAAGATGTGTGACTCGAGCAGTGAATATTATGGTTCCTTTCCATTAAGTTCTTCGTGTGGTTGATTTCTCTATGACCACAACTGGCATTTACTGTGAATGAAAAAGTTGAGTAAAAATTGAGAAACTATCCATCTCTTAAGAGTTTGTGTCTTATATATATAATATATAGACAGAACCAGGGTAAGTCTTGTTCTCCCAGAGGCTGAAAGACAAGGTATCTACAGATGATAGAAAGACACTTAAAGGAGAAGCAACAAAGGACCATGACACTGAACTGTGATACTAGGTATCACATAGAAACCACAGTGGAGCTCTGCTACGAACATACAAAACTAGGCACAAATTATAGGATGGCTTCTTGTGTAGGGAGGAAAAGAAAGGACCAAAAGATCTCACAAATATAGCCATTTAAAAAAAAAAAAAAAAAAGATGACTAAGGGCAAAGAATGGACGTTTTCTCAGCCCCACAGCATGCAGGACAGGAGCGACTGAGTGGGTGGTACCCTTGCTCCAGATGAGGACATGGGTCTGCTGATGGCTGGAACTATAAACTTACCAGCCTCAGTGGTGTCCAGATCTACCAGCTTTGCTTTATATTCAAAACAATGTCTGGCCACTGCTGTCCCTCTAAATGTACCACATCCTGAACTTTGGGGGCTCAATGGAATCACTGGATTAGGTGGCTCGGCTCTGCAATGCTGATATGCCTAAATGAACAGTCCTGAAATCCTTCCCTTCTATGCCTGGCACCCCCGTGACAACATACAGCAGCTCCTGCTCTGGCAACCAAGCCATGTACACCTTCTGGTGCTCGCTGAGCCAAGGGTCCCCACCAGAAGAGACTGTGCTCGGGGAACCAACCTGTCTGGAAACGCACACCGTGGACACAAGCAGGACTTCAAGTGGTCCGTGTAGCTCTCACTATAGCATGCGACACTAGGTCCTACTTTTCTACATGACCACGTTCATGAATGGTTGTGAACCAAGATATGCAGGGGAAAGAAGAAGAAAAATGAGAGGGAACCTGGGAAAAATCTTAGGGGGAGGCAGGGAGAACAAACAGGATTAAAGTCTGGACCATTCCACACCACTGGACTAGCACTGGGTGCCCAGTTCCAAATCCTTGACTGGCAGTTTGAGTCCCAGGGAAGAGGTTCCCAGGGGGTCGATCATGTTCTTGTAACGCTCCCCACGGTGTTGAGCTAAGAACGGACCCCAGTCTGGCTGCGGCGAGCACACCAACTTCAGCCTCTGCAAAGGAGTCAGACACACAGGGTTACAGAAGTAATGCACCTTCCCCACTAGGGACCATGCTAAGCATTTGGGACCCTGCACAACTGCTTAGGACCACATTTGCCATGGCCTCTGCTTGGGCCCAAACTCCCCGCTCCAAGAGAAATAGGTAGGAAGATCTGTCCCATTAATTACCCAACCCAGAGATAATAAAGACAAGACTCCATTTGTTTCCCTTGAAACTATTTATATCACCCTGCAAACAATATTACAATTGCTGCGTGTTTGTCTTTCGCAAAATTAATAGAGGATCAAGGGCCCAGATTTTAATTATTCTTCTTTTCCCTCCAAATGAAGAAAATCTGCAAGCTACCTTCCATAAAAGACATGTGCTCAATTACTTTTGTTCCATAGTCTCAACAGTGGATTGCTACATCAAAATAATTGGATTTTGCTTAGCATATTTCCCAAAAGTATATAAATGACCAGGACAAAAAAAACCCCAAAGATACACTGCCAAGAGTGAGCAAAGGTTTTAATGATCTGTTGACAAAAAATGTATGCTTCTGACTTGGTTCTGACGTTAACGGTGTGGGTTCTTACAGGCAAGTGAAAAATAATGGGAATGTCTCCCCTCCTTCAACTGAAATTTTTAGGGAAAACATAATTTGTCTGGAACATTTTCTAGAAAAAAAGAAAGAAAACACATTTCTGACGATATAAGAGGGAATAATTATATGTTTATTACCTATTAAAGTGAAGCTGGTTCTTGGAGCTGTTAGTTTAATCTCCCCTTAATCATCATTTTGCAACCTTTGTGTCCCCAGTCAACCATATTAAATTTATCCAGCTGACTCACTGGTTTAGAGAATTTAGCCTAAGACAACAGAAGCAGGAGCTAAAGTAGGTTCTGTTTCAAGGGAAAGAGATTTCTGGGCCTCACTGTGGGGAGGTGGATCTGGGGCAGGCATGAGCTCTCTCTGGAGGAAAATGGGGCCACAGCTATTTTATCTCAAGGCGATGACCAGTGGGACTTTCTGAGGATGCAAAGTGGAACAGGGCTTCCATAAGAAGACTCCATGCCTCCCCATGCCAACTTCATCTCCACCTGCAGGCCAAGGGGTACAGAAGCTACCTGCCCCATGTGGACATTTGTTTTGTGCACTTACTGTGCACCTGTTCCCATCCTGCTTCCCCTTCCGTGCCTCTTCCTTTTATCAGTCTGGCTACCAAGACCAACACCTCCATGGCTGTTCTCTGCCCTCCACTGATGGGTGTTTCTTCACCTTAGTCTAGTCCAATGCTTCTCAAACTTGAGCAGGCAGCTGGATCATCTGCAGGTCATGTCAGGGCTCCATTTCCTCCATATTCTGATTCAAAGGAGCTGCCTGGTACCTGATGGTTTGCATGTCCAACAACCTCCTAGGTAGTTCCTGGACCAAAACCTAAGTAGCTCTGGTGAGGTCCAAAATACCCCTGGATCCTCAAAACAGAAGCAGGGCTGATGGGTTCCCAGCATCCCTAAACCTGTGACTCCTCATAAGTAAGGAAAGCCTGGCCATACTGCACAGGTGGATCAACAAGCAGCAGTCTCCTTCCGGTCCCTCTGGAGTGACTTGGGGGTTCTTTGCATTACAAATGGGAAATGGGTCCAGCAAGGGATTGATTAAGAAAGCCAGTCCCACCTCATTCCAGTGACTGCTGGAACTCTCATCAACTTAGACTAGGGACAGCAATCAGCTTGGACCCCTGGGCCTTTCCTGACACAAGGACAAGAGGAACAGGTACTGATTTCAAGTTTAATGCTAACAGATGCCTGGGATGGAAGGAGGCTTAGACAGAGAAGACCATCAGGAGAGGGGGAAGGTGATGTGTGGTTAAAAATGAAACACTGGGATTTAAATTGTGGCTGAGGGGAGAGGAGGAGGAAGCTCCGGGAAAGAGGAAACACTGATTATTTATTCCCCAGAGCTGTCACCATACTGAGGAACAGCATAATAAAGCTCAGCCTGGGAAGTGGCTGAGCCCTCCATTAGAGGAATAATACATAATAAAAATGGGTTTAACGGAAATGGTGGCAACTATAATCACTTAATCACCAAGTCTCCCTCTTGGATAAGTTCTCTGAATCTTTTGTTTTTTAATGCAAGGAGCTTTTAGGGGCTGCCCCTTGGGAGAGGATGGCAGGAGAAAGGGGTGGGTAGAATTACCTCAATAAATCTGCCAGGGGCCAGATGCATTTTTATCACAAACATGATTGGGATCCAGATAACGGAGCAGGCAAGCATTAGCCATCCCAGCACCATGGACCAGTTAGGGTAGTGGTAGGAGCCGTAGGTCATGGGCTCCCACTGGTAAAAGCTGAAGCACAGGATAAACTGGGAATAAAAGAGAAACATATGCATTAGGATGGCGATGTGAATTGTTCATTCAACAGGCATGCATGGAAGCCCCTCTTCTGAGTCCAATGCTTTCATATCTATTGCCTCATGTTATACCCACATTTGCCCTGAAATGGAATTTTCCAAATGAAGAAATTGAATTTCAGAGATGAAGATGACACACACTCAGCGGCTGACCCTGCATTTGCTGTCCCCCGGGAACTGAGCCACACACATACACAAATATGCACAAAGCCAGGCTCAGAAGATGAGTGGGAAGGACGTCACCAAAGGGACTAACCAGGGGCAGAGGGGGGGATTTTTAAGGGGTTGCTTTTACTTTCTATAATGGATAATCAAGCTTTAGTTACAAGAAAGAAGCCTGGGAAATTTATGTGTTTTAATTTTTAACATCTTGAATCTGCTTGGCTTTCTCCTTGACTAGGGAATGGCCCACTTCCAGAAGCTGCCACTAATGCTCATACCCAAAGTGGTCCCCAAGCAGTGACTGAGCTGGAAGCCTCGTCCTATAATAAGTTGTGGGACAAAGAAGAGAATGCACAGCTCCCCACGACCCCAACGGACTCAAGGTGAACAGGCGTCATCATCAAATGGCGAGCCAGCCAAGAGCCCAGAGACCAACAGGCTAATCCTGGCTCCCCCACTAATTAGCCGAGGGACCATGATGTCTGACTTCTCTGCTATGAAGTGGACACAATTCGCACCATGTGCAGAGCACAGGGGGGTCCTGGGAACAGTCTGGTATTGACTCTCGAGCCCCCTTAGCGTTAAGAGAGGTCACAGTGCATTTTCTACCCGTTGTCTCAGTCCATTGTCTCCAGTGCTGTAAGCTTGGGCTGGTGGCTGGCAAAGCTGAAAGGACAAGGGGACACAAGTGCTGAGAACAGAGGCACCTGAAGTGTGAAGGGAGGGCTCTGGCTGCTCTAGTCAAGCCATTCAGGGGCATTTCCCAGAGAAGAATATGTGGCTCCCTATATTTACCCCACCTATGGTAGTTTCAGCCCAGAATTATCATCCATTTGTCTCCTCCATCTCCACCTCTCTCATCCTATCATAAGCTATAAAATAACTGCTAGAAAATGATTGCAGGAAATTATGTCAGGAAAAATAACATATGGAAGTAAAGCACTACACAAATGTAAAGCATCAATATTATTGTTGCAAAGCCCAGGCTGCTGGACCAAGTGATTATTTCAATGCAACAATAACTCAATATATTGATTCAAAGCAACATGAGCCTAGAGATAACTGTGGAGAAAAAATGCTATGGAAAGAGATGTCTACTTTAGGCTCCTTTTTAAACATTTGCCCCTTAAAGTTATAAGCTTTATTAAAAAGTCTATTGGAAGCAAGGCCTAATGTAATTATGGAGAGCTGCTCCATTTCATTTACTATATAAATAGCAATACATCTGCTTATGTGTGTGCATAACTTAGTAACGTGATCTGACTATGTATATAATAATTTTGTGGGGAATATTTATAGCTCTATAAATCCATGAAGGCACATATAAAAATGATCAATTTTATTTCAGGGGCTCTGAAGCAATTTAAACCCATAATCTTAGGCTGTTCCAACACATGACAAATATCCACTTTACAGAAGGGCAAATGGCAAAACATAAGCATTGGGTTTGGTTCTTTGATACCCATTTCTAGTTGCACAAATATCACATCAAACTTAGGGACACAAATTTGTTCTTTGCTAACCTTGTTCCCCCTGCCAAGTCAGCTGTGATAAATCCCTGTCCTCTGGTGGGCTTGACCATGAGTGATGGTAATGTAGCCTGATGGTAGTCAGACCCACTCTGACCTCTGGGTGAATGGCAGCCAAAGAAGGTGCTGGAAATTCACAGGTTGGTGATGATAATGGAATTGATAATGGAACTGGTTCAATATACTTCCCCAGGCACTCTACAACTTTCTAACATGAGTTTTCTCATTGAAATCAAGTAAAAACACAGCACAGTGGAAGAACTTCCTCAAAAAGCACAGTGAGTCTCCAGGATTCCTCTTTTCTAACATTCTGCTCATAAGGACTAGAACAATTTCAATCCAAGAAGATGGAACTAACTCCACTTGGAAATGATAGCGTGGGCTTAGGACGTGGGCTGGAAGCCTAGACATCTCTGGACTCAGTTGCTGGCTGTGACCTCTCCAAGCCTCTGAGCACATCTATACAATGGGGAGCGCATCACCCAGCAGAAAGAGTGCTCATGAACTTTAGAGACAATGTCCTTCAAGTGCCTCCCTCATAAGGAACCTCAACACAGAGCAGCGCTGCTTATGACTGGGTGATACGCTTCTGCAGAATACAGCAAACTTCTCTCGGGCGTAATCTCTTCTAGGACAGTAGGAAAAGGAAGGCAGAAACTAGAAGAAATTCTAACTTGGACTCATCCAAGAGTAAATCACTAGGAGCAGTAACGGGGTAAACAGCAGAGCTGGGCAGAGACAGAGAACACTGGTAGGCACCCCAGGGGGCTCTGCTGCCTGCCAGCAGGGAGCCCCAGTTCCTCATACACGCTTTAGCCCTGAGCTCAGCTGGTGGATGGCCCGGCTCAGTCCTTTTCAACTCTCATGCCCCAAATCTGGTGGGACTTTTCAGACAAACCCCAGCCGCATATACGAGTGTGACATGGCTGTCAATGCAGGGAGAGAAGAGTGCTGAGATGCTCTCTTGTCATAACCTCTAGCTTTTCAGAAAGAAATTGGGGCATTTTGATTAAAACTCACTCCGTGACAGAAAGAAAGAAAAAGGAAGGGAGGAAGGATTTTCTTTGCAATTGTATTTTCATCCATTGTGTCTTGGGTTTTTTTTTTAAATATTTTACTGGTATATATTTATGATGCATAATTACATTCATTTTGAGAAGCATAATCAAAAGACAGCAAATATTTTAAAAATGTATCAGTAAAAGACATACTGACATTATTTCTCCTCAAAATATTCAAAATGCTCTCCCTCGCTTCAAACACATGTCCCTTATCATTCTCGGCAATGTGTCTTTTGCCTTAATAAGTTTTTTATTTAAATTTAAGCATTCACCCTATATTTTGATCATCATTTTAAAATTTCTTTATCCCTCCACCTTTCCCTTGATCTCCTTCCCCATCTCCAAAAAGATTGTGTCCTTGTCGTGTTTCCTTTCTAAAAGAATAATACGTGTTTAGGGCACATAATAATAGTATTTTGTTGGTCTTGTTTCTTAAACTAAGCATAAATCCTAAACTAAAACGGAAGGTCTTAATCTAGTTTCTGCTGCCACCTACTGGGTCGATCAGAGGTTACAACTTCCTTGGGATTTGCCCACGTGACACCCATAAGAAGCCCACAGCAGGAAAGAAGCAGGCAGGCTACAGCTATCTTAGTTGCAGAGCAGCTGCACTGACGAGCGGTTGGGAGCATGAGTTCTGGAGCCGCTCTGCCTGGGTTCGAATCCAGGCTGTTGCTAAGTCGACAATGCCGGGCAAATCACTCTACCTCTGGGCGTTAGCTTCCTCATCTGCAGTGTGGAGTGAATTACAATGCCTGCCCCATAGAGTCTGCTACGGTTTAGATCAGAATGTGCCCCAAGTCCTCACGAGTTCAGAGGTTGAGTGGATCATGGGGGCGCTGTGCTCATCAGTGGGCTCATCCACTAAAGGATTCAGAGCTGGCTCACTGTTGGGAGGTAGAGTGGGCTTGGAAGAGGCAAGCCACTGGGGGCGTGACCTGGAAGGGTTCCTGCCCTCCCCAGCCTCTCCCTTCTCTCTCGGCTTCCGGCCGCCATGATGCGAGCAACTCTTCTCTATCAGACCCTCTCACCATGCCCTTCCTGCCCTGGAGCCGGCTGACATACAGAAAATGCTCCAAAAGCCATGAGCCAAATCAACCTTTGCTCTTTTAAGTTGTGGGAGTCAGGTATGGTGTCCCAGTGACAGGAAAGTGACTAAGACAGAGCTGCCAAGGGAGACAGATGGAGCCCCTTGAACAGAGCCTGGAACATGTTAGCACATGGCGCATGCTGGCTGTGACTGCTATTTGCAGCCAGATCACAAGGCAGATGCATATAATGGGAAATCCTCCAAGGGGTACTCCAAACGCCCACGCATTAATCGCAGCTCTGCACCTGACCAGCTGGATACCTTTAGGCAAATGTCAGTTTCCTTGCCTGAAAGACAAGAATAATACCTATTCCACCTGCTTCCCAGGTCCAGACAGTAGCACAGACACCTTCAAACATAATTATCACATATACATGCAAAGCGCTAGCCGCGTGAAAAAGCACGCAGCCCTTACAGTTAGAATGGTTGGGGTTACAAACGCCCAGCAGATTTTCCAGAAAATGTTGGGCTGGAATCCAATCATCATCTCTATGTCTTCACAGAATCTTTGCAAGCCTGTAAATAAAGAAGCAGAGAGGAAGTATGAGGTGCCGAGCCCCCGGGTGAGGAGGGGCCGGCACGAGAGTCCCTCTCCCCAGCACTGTTGGCTGGGGATGGCCCCAGTCTGCTGTCAACTTGACCTCTATGATGCAGAGAATCATCAGACACATGACCTGTTGCCAGAAAGATCAGGACAAACCAAACATTTGAATAGATATTAAATACTCCCTGCGGTGAGGTGGAAAGACGTCAGACCACAGTGACATATAAAAAGCTCAGTTCCAGCCCAGGTGTGTCGGCACTGCCACAGCCTGGAATGTCCATTTATGTGGCTGTTTTCTGAGGTGGCCTCATGCACTTAGGGACAAGTCTGGCAAAACCAATTAGGCCTGTGGTCGATATAGAGTGTCTTACAAAGTCTCAGGGTTTAGAGCAAAAATCACTGTATGTTGGTTGTCTGTCCCTCATCCTCCCAAGACCACTTTCCCAGCAAATCCATTTATCTTTGCTCTGTGTAAGAGGATCGATCATGATGGGGAAAAACAACAAATTCCAAGTGGCTGTCACTCGGTTTGTCTCAACCATCAACCAAAGGATGGCTGTCTTCTTAGTCACTCAGTGACATCACTTGAGTAAAAGACAAAGAATGGCCAGAGACTTAGCTCAGTGGTTTCGCCGTCTGCTGTGCAAGCGCAAGGACCAGAGTTTGATCCCCGGTACCAAAAAAAATTAGTAAAAGACAAAGAAGAGAGTTATTGTCCTGGCCCACATAGCCGCCCTCCCTACACGCTCTTGGTTCAGAAAGGTTTTCAAACCACTCCTTGAAGGGAAAAGCCACTGAGCAATGTCTTAGAATTGAATGGTTTCCTGCATTCCTTCCCGAGCTTGTTAGGAGTGCGGCCTTCGCAGAGCTGTGGGGTCGATAACGCTGAACAGATCCTAGACGTTCCCAAGTTCAAGTTCCTTTGTACTCAGCAGTTCTGAGAATCCATCCAGCTGTACCTTCAAGATGTGTGCCCTTGTGGAGAAAGGAAGTCCTAGCGCACTCACTCTTGGTGGAAATATAATTAGTACAGCCATTGTGGAAAACCTTCCAGAGGCTACTCAAAAACATTAAAAATAAAGTTACCGCAGGATCCAGCAATCCTACTCCTGGGGATTCAGTGAAAGGATTTGAAAGCAGCATGTCAGAGCAACACCTGCACTCCCATGTTTACTGCAGCATGACTCACAACAGACCTGAACATCTCCATCGATGAGTGAATAAAGGAAATGTCACACTCACACACACACACACACACACACATATATGATAATATTTAGCCCTTAAAAAGAGGGGAATTAAGTCATATGCAGCCACTTGAGTAGAACTGGAGGACATTACGCTACATGAAATAAGCCAGGCACAGAAAGGCAAATACTACTTGACCTCATTTACACATGGAATCTTTAAAAATGGAACTCATAGGAGCAGAGAGCAGACTGATGGCAGCCAGAGGCTAAGGGATGGGGTAACGGGTGATGCTGAGTAAGGGGTACAAGGCTAGAGCGAAAATGCTAAGTATTTGAGGTGATGGATCCATCAATTAGCTTGATTCAGTATTCCACATTGTACACATACACCATTGTATCACACTGCATCCCATACATCTACACAACTATAACTTGTTAGTAGCCAATGAAACAAAGAAATATGTTTATAATTTTTAAAATAAGTGTGGCTTCTCCTATGTATGTTATACTTCAATTGTAAAGTTTAGCAGAAAAAGGCCACTCTAGCCATCAAAATCATGAAGCTGGGATCATTTATGGCCCTCAGTTCCTTGGATTTGCTTCCATTTCCTGTCAGGCTCAGACCAGAACATCAGCGAGCCCCCATCACTGAACCTCTGGATGTCCAGGACAGAAGCCATCGCAGAGCACAGCCTGGGCGAGGAGACTTCTGAGAACACCCAAAGCAATGCCTGCAGCTGAGTCTCCTGCTCTACTTAAGGGCAAGTCTGATCATGGTGCAGGGGACACCACTAGACCAGGGGCTGGGATCTGAGAACTGGACCCCAGTGCTGGATCGAATGCACGGTATGAACTTGGGGAAGGCCTTTCCCCTCTCTGAGCTTCGTTGGTTTATTGACAAGACTGGGCCCAGTGAGTGCTTGGGATCTCCTCAGGGTGCAGAGGCTCCAGGTTGCTCCCTTGGGTACACAGGTCATGCTTTCAACCATGAACTTTACCAACTTTGGGTTGGTTTGTTTGCTTCCTTTAGGGTTTTATCAAGCACTCTCAGTTGAGTGACTTCTGGATGCTACGGCCCATAAACGTTAAGTGAGGGGAGAGAAGCAAAGAAACAGAAGTCAAAGTTGAGGCCCTCAAAATCACACAAATCACTGAAAGCAGGCCTCAGTTGAGAGAGAGAGAGAGAAGATTCTCGAAACTTCTGCACTTAGCATCAATCCTATTACCTGTTCTTCCTCCCCAGTAAACCATCCCCGAGAGATGGTGACATGTGGCTTGACTGGGTCACTGATGTGACAGGGTTGGGGCCAGACCTGAGGAAGACAACTAGCAACCTCCTCTCAGAGGAAGACCATGGCAACATGCCCAAGCTTCTCCAGAGAGGAAAGGAGTGGCACTCCCAGCTGTGGGAAGGGAGGACAAGGGGCGCTCAGTGTGCAGCAAGAGGCACCTTGGAGCAGAAGCGCAGTCTCAGGACTGAGAGTGAAAGCTTGGGTCCTGGGGCCACTGCAGACCCAGAAAGTCAGCCTCCTCCTTGGGCCTCCCATGGGGGATGTGGACACCTGATCTCTGCCTCAGACAGCTCCAGGTCCAACGACTGCCGTCTGTTCTGCCAATTTGTAGGCTGCCCTGCAGATGCAGCCTAGGGGCACCAGCTGGGGGCCACCAGGTGACTCTCCTCCTCTGTGCCCACTGCTAAGGCAAGCTCTCAGTAACCCCAGCCTCTGCCTCCCTCCAGGGCCCATCCAGCCCAGCCTTCAGGTGCCCTGGCTCATAACCAAGTCCCCACCTGAGTCCTTACTGTGTCTAAGGCCATCTTCACCTTGGACCTTTGTTCAGAGGGCTTTCCCTGCCTGCTATGTTCTGCTGATCCAGGTCCATCTGGCCTTCAAGTCCTAACTTATAACAAGCAAACTGTTCAGGGAGCCTTGAGCATGTGGGAGAGATCTGTGTGCTGCACGACTTTGAGTCTGGAGGGTAAGACAGCAAGTGGTCAGGTCCCAGAAGGGATCTGAGCAGCTGTTTCTCCATGATTAGTCTGAATTAGCAGAAAAACAGGGGACTGGAGGAAGGTGGTGAACTCGTGGCTGCTGGTCTAGACTCAGTAAACAGAAGTGAGATTCAGAAGTCAGTCTCCATAACAACCACACACAGCCAAGCATCTGGAACTGGGCAGTCAAGGACTTGCTTTAACTGACCTATCACTTCCCCTGTGCAACTCAGGGGTTTCTGCCTTTGTAAATCACACCCTGCCCTCGTGGGGACAGAATCTGGGGTGGGGGCTGCTCAGGTGGGGCTGGGGGGTCCTGGCACTTGAGTTGTGTAGATGCACGGGGCCTCTGCCCAGAAGGATACTGCACCAAATTTAATGACCTCCTCCCACTGCCTGGGAATTCTTAAATTTTTAACAGGAGATTCCACATTTTTGTTTTGTGTTAGGTCCTGCAAATTACATCTCAGTCCCATGTGTACCTATGTACAGGTTATTCTTTTAGGGTTAAAGTGAAATCCCATCCCTGAGACCCAAAGCCTTCTTTGTGAACTAGGTCTTCCCTCCTCGGTTGGGAATTCAGCTTAACATGCCCTAAGTCTCAATGTTCATTCCTTTTATATTATTTGTCTCTGAAATGCCACCTTCTCAAGGTTTCCCTGACTATACAGGCCCTGCTTTAGCTCTGGGCAGCACAGGAGCTTCCAGCCAGGGAGCCACATTTAGCATTAATGCTCTTCTCTGTATCTTAGGCATGTTTTTTCTTCTTTGGTAGCTAGTTGACAATCTCCATGAATGCAGGAAATTATCCTTCTCCTCCCTGTTTTGATAGGAGCACACAGAGCACACAGTAAGCACTTCATAAATACCTTTCCATTTACTCACACACATTTACTTGCATGAGTTATAAATGGACTAAAGTCTCTTGTTAGTGTTTACTGAGTCCCAGCAAATAGAGCTTGGGAACTCTACATCCTAAAGTGGGAGGTGTACACACCACCATTTCAGCCAAAAACATCAGTGAAAATTGATGGATCTGTAGAGTTCTGGGGGGGGGGGTTGTTTATTGTTGGCTTATTTTCATTTTATTTGGTACTTTAAAAATCTGAGTGTAGCCAGGAGGATGAGAAACAAGAACTGAAGGCAGACTTATTTCATCTTGTAAAAGCCATGGCCTGGCAGGAATCTAACACCCCATACCAGGTGTGGGCAGGTAGACAGTCCAGGGGTGAGACTGACATGGAAATCAGACCAAGACTGTCTCATGAAGGAGAGGAGCTAACAGGCAAGACACCTGGGCGGGGCTATTCCATCACATCACTCCTCGAGCTAGAAAGTCTCCAGACTGGCTCCTAGGAACATGCAAATCACTTTTTCATAGTGATTCTACTTTAGTAAAAGTTGATAAATGGCACTTGAAACCTGAAGATCTCCAACCTGGCTGGTGATTAGCCTTTAAGTGGTGCTGGCTTGAGAACTTTAATCAATTATTTCAATCTAAACATAGAACCTGAAAACTATACCCACCATATATTAGACAGTAGAATGGCATCCTCAGTACTCTAGAGATTATTAGAAATAAGTAGAAAGCACAAATCCCTACAACTCGCTTGCTTATTTCTGAAATTCTGCAGCCAGGAAGACAATACACCAAATCAATCAGGTTTGTTTTCATTCTTTGAAAAGGTTTGTGTTCAAGTGCCTTATGCTAACCTTCTACTGATTTGGTGCCTAAAGAAAGCTCTGACCCCAGGAATACAATTCACATATTTGTTCAGGCTCTTTTTTCATCTCTAACAACTCTGTTAGCCAATCTCTGTTTCTTTCTGAGATTTACTTCTTCACACTCTATCTAGATCTGGGTCTAGCCTGATGCTGTTAGGATTTTGAAAGCTGACCTAACACCAGCACCCTTAGGGAGCAGAGAGTTTCCTGTCCCCAATAAATTTAGCAAAGCTCCGGGGCTGAAGCACTCAGAATTTATTTATTCCTTTCAAACCAAGAGCTCTAGAACCAGATATATATGAAGGAGGAAGGAGAAAGCTATTTATGGTTTAAAAACAGAGATATTGAAAGGTTTCCATTTTAATGATGCTTTTAAACCACACCGAATGGGCCTGTTTTACAGGAATGGAGTGTGTGTGGAAATGTCCTTTCTGTGGCACTTCAAAGTTAGGAGACAGCTAAAGGAAGAGGTAAATGTGGTAATTGTCTGCACATGGGCTACTGCTCCAAAGAAAGTGCTATCCTGACTTTCCCACGGACCATGTGGTAACCTCAGCTTGTATGGGGACCTGCCGGGGCTGAATTTCCAAAGGAGGTTCTCAGAGGCCTCGTCTTGCCTTCGTTTTGTTATCTGGGTAAAAAGGTAAGACTCAGCATTGTGGATCTCGCTGGGTTTCTGCCATTCTGCTCAGGTAAAAAGCACTTTGAAGCGTCACCGTCCCTCTGACACCAGATCTTCAATCCTAGCATCACTGCGGGGTACCGGCTGTCTTAACAGTCAAAAATATTGGCAGCTTGGGCTTTGATCTCATCAGGACAGCTGGCATGTCAGCCCACTCCTCTTGCCAGGAACTAAACTCTCCCTGAAGTGGAGATGTGATCTCTAGGCTGAGAAAATTTCACCTGCAACCAACACCCAAAAATGACTGCAGGATCTTGCTGTTTCTGAGGTACTCATCTTTGACATGACAGATTTCCTTTTCTTATCTTGATGCCTGTGCATCCTCCTCCATCTTTTTTATGTGTTTTCAAAGAAAGCAAGAAGCTGTTGAGCAGCTGTTGGGTGGGAAGCTATCAATTAGATTAAAAGCAAGATGGGCTGGGGATTTAGCTCAGTGGTTCTGACGCTTGCCTCAAAAGCATAAGGACCTGAGTTCGATCCCCAGTAACCCCCCCAAAAAAGCAAGATGTTCATATCAAAGACACATGGAAGTTAACCTGGGCTCCCATTTTAAAGAGCAGAGCTCTGCAGATAAATCCAGCCTGGACTGCTCTTCCTTTGGATCTAGATGATGCATCTGAGGGTACTCACCTGCTGCACTCCAAGTGATACACTGCTTTTAAGTTTAGAGCACATAACTATCTCTTTTTGAGTTTGAAATACAGTTAGATATTCTGAACTGAAAATTTTCACACACTCCCATGTTTGCTATGGTGGCTTTATCTATATTAGGGAGCCCTGAGTCTAGACACACTTCTCAGCAGACTTCCAGGCAAAAAGAAAACAGTGCCGAGAATCAAATAGGCTTTCCTGGTGCTGACTGGCTCCACACACAAGGACCAGGAGACCTGTTGAAACCCGAAGGACAAACACCTTCACAGAAAGGGCAAAGATGACATCTGCTGGCTCAGTGTGCCTGTTCTTGATAACAGTGGCCCTGATTATGGGATGCAGGTTGCTATGGTAATGGTGGGAAGGTAAACCATAAAGGAGCTGGAAGTTCATTCCTGGCCAAGCTGAGTCTGAGATACTGCACCACAAGCTCCACTGGTAAGAAGACAACTTTCTCAGGCTGTGAGCTAAGTAGTCTCTGCCCTCACTAAAGCATCCAGGAACCGTGGCAAGGCCACACCATACTTCAGGCTACACAGACTTGGTAGCTACCAAGACCAAGATCTAATTTCACACCTGCAAGGCAGCACCTCCTCCTGTAGCCAGCCCCTGTCCCCAGACATTAACTATTCACCTGCCAGATCATACCAAGGCCAGTTCCTAGAGATCTCTGAGTATCACCATCAGTCACATTTGGCCTCTCTGTGAAGTCTGGATCATGGTGGCTCTGAGGCAAGCTTGGAAGGTGCAATTTTAATCCCATCATTGTCTTGCTGATATAGGACCTCTGCTTGCCAGGAGTGGCTCTGCCTCACCTAGTGACTCCCTTACCATACACATAGGAGATCCCCACAAGCTCAAAGATGGCAATGATGACAAGGGCATAGGAGGCAGCGTATGTGTCCACGAGCTGGAACATGTAGATTCCACCCTAAGGAGAGAGACACAGGCAACATCAAGTGGGCCCTAGAAATGGGCTCTGTCCTTCCATTTCTAAAGCCAGACCTCCCTATCTAAAGGACTCAAGGTATCTCCTCTCTTCCCCAAAGCAATAACCTTCACCTGGCCAAGTATGTAAGCTGGAGACTTTGCCAGGTTAGCAAAGCAGTTGCTTGACCTGCTCTGAGTTAATCGACTGAATAAGAACCAAGAAAAGTGATTTAACATCTTATTTTTCAAAGATGAAGGTCAACATCTGAAGACATATATGAGAAAGTAGCTAACATGTATTGTTTTTGTTTAAGCAAGCAATGATGCTTTTCACTCATATCTGCATTTGATTGCCCTTCATGTGGCCTTTAGATCTTGCTAGGCATTCTTCATGCATTCCAATGTTTCTCTGCCTTATTCTTTAAATCTCCTTACAACAGATAAAGCTCAGAAACCAATTCATTCAAATCCATCACTTTACAGATGAAGAAATTAAGGCCCAGAATAGTGATTTGCTCAAGGTCACAGAGACAGCAAGAGGAATGTGCACACTAAGTGAGCTGACTCTCATTTACCGAGACACTTGGACTAGAAGAGACTCGAGTGGCTGTAGAGCTTGACGTATGATGAGTGATAGCTTGGAAATGTGTCTAGCTGGTAAATTTGGGGCTTTATATTTTCCATTTCTTTAAGTAGGACACACCTGTCTTGTTGGCTCAAGAAGGCTACATCTCAATTACAAAGATGCTAGAAGCATCCCTGGTGGCCAAGAGGACATATTTCCCTCTGCGGTCAGAATCCCTAATGAAGTGGTGCTGTTGACATGGAAATGGTGATGATTTGGCTAAGCTCATAAGACCTGAGAGCTAAGGGCAGAGGGACAGGTAGCCACTGGCTCTCACCCACCTGGCCCACCCAAGGCCCGAGCCCAGCACCTCTTACCTGAGTGATCATGGGAAAGCCCATGATGAAGAAACAAATGCAGCAGCCCAGCGTAAAGACGGGCTTGTGTGTGCGGAGGTACTTTGGAAACTCATCCGAGATGGACGTCACTATGGTCTCGATGGTGGCGAACTGGAACAGTCCGAAAAGAGGCAGCTGAGTCAAACTGTCCACCCACAGGGCTCTCTGATGTCTCACCAGGGAGAGCTGGGTCTGTGTTACGTTGGGTTTTGAGGATGGCTTTCTTTTGTTGGGTCTAGAAGACCTTTCTGGGGCGCAACCCACAAAGCTATTCAGAAGAACTCGCGCAGGATGCGAGCGTCAGACACCACGCTTCCAGCCCCCAGAGAACACACTTATTCTCATCTATCAGGACATTTTAAGCTTCATTTTGAATTCATGAGATGTAAACTCCTCTCCTCCAGTTACCTCGCATTTGATCTTCTACCTGAGGGAAAACCCTTTCCACACAATGACTAAACTCTGAGTGCTGTCAGCATGATTTGTAGTAGTCTCAGCCCCACAGCAATTTCCCTAAAATTGACTTCATAGTATCCTCCCTTATCCGGCCCCACAGAATGTGCTGTGGCAAAATGATGCCAGGGGGATATATGCAGGCTAAAATCTGGCACAGAGAACAGAGAGAGGGAAGGAAGGAGAGACAATGCCTTCTTTGTACCATCACGTGAGCACCAAAAGTGCAGGGTTGTCCCCAACCCTAAACAGACAGCTCACCATCCCCACCCTGCTCAGGGGAGACCTTCGGGCATGCCTAACCCTCCCTGAATGCTGGGCCTAGGGCCCAGGAAAGAGGTTTTCAGAAGGATCCTGGGACAGGGCTAGAAGGGGAAGGGGCTCACCATTGTGTCAAGTCCAAGAGTGAGGAGCATCAGGAAAAAGATAATGGCCCAGAATGGAGAGAGGGGCAGCCTGGTTAAGGCTTCTGGGTAAACCACAAATGCAATGCCTGGCCCTGGAAGGAAGAAGAGAAATGATTACAAGCAGGGCCAGCTCAAAGCCCCTCTTCCCAGGGTCCACAGGTCCTCCTCTCCACCCAGATCCTGAATTACTATTTATCACATGCTGCTTCTACTGTTTGTTATTAACTTTACTCACCTGCACCCATTTCTAAGATCAGGCTACCTCTCATGCAAACAACATGAGAAACCACATTTTTTAGTGGATGAGTTAAAGGTAAAGATAATAATTACACTCCACAATAGTGATTCTCAACCTGGGTTGATGAAATAGTTTATATCTAGATGTCCCCTCAAAGCCTCCTGAGCTCACAGATGAGGCTTTGGGGAGCTGATTGGATCACAGCAGTGTGATACTCATCTGTGGATTAGGTCACTGATGAGTTTACAGCTAAATGTGACGTTGGGAGGCACAGCCCAATTGGAGGACGTGGGTCACTGACAGCACGGCCTGGAAGGGTCTATCTCTTCCCCTCCTCTTTCCTTGGTCTTTTTCTCTCTTTCCTGCTGCCATGCCATGGACTGTTTCTCCTCTGTGATGCCTGCTGCCATGCTCATGGTGGACTGAACAAACTGTGAGCCAAAATAAACCTCTTCCTTTAGTTCTAGGTGTCGGGTATTTTGCCTCAGTAAAACCCAGGAAGATATGTGGTAAGATCTGAAGACATTTCTGATTCTCACAACTGGGATAGGGTAGGATGTTGACTGCCATCTAGTGGGTAGAGCCAAGGAATATTACTTCGCATTCTCTAAGACAATGGACATACTCCCATTGACAAAGGAAAATCCAGCCCAATACTACTAGTGCTGATGTTGGGAATACCTGCTCTGAAGGTTAGAGTGGACCAGAATGACATCATTTCCCCCACCTCCCATAAGTACACTCCCTCCTAGTCAGCTCTCCAGGGGAAGCCATTCACATAAAACATGGCTGTGTCTAACACTTGTGGAGCTTGCCCTACTTGGTAAAGATGGGCTCCATCAGTCCATTGGCAATTAGTTGGAGAAGAGGGGCAGAGAGAGGGTGAACATGGCTTGGAGTTGAGTTTGGTCTCTAAAGGTCAGACAGATCTGGTCCACATCCAGACTCCATCATTTACTAGCTATGCAACCCTAGACAAGATTCTATAAGCCTCAATTTGGCCCATCTATTAAATGGGAATAACAGTAATACCTCCCATTATGGTTGTGAGGAAGGAGTAAATGAAAAATACCTGATACATCATCAACATTCACAGAATGTTAGCTTTTATTATGAATGAACCATGAACTTGGCAGTTAGAGATTCCGGTTCAGGCTTTTTAAGGAATACCACATGGTTCCTTGGTTGGGGCATCTGAGCCGGTTTTCTCAGCTATGGTAAAGTCCTGCCAGCTATTCCTGCCTGCCTCAGAGTCTCACTGGGAAGATCACAGTAACCGAGCACATATAAAGACATGGCAGGTGCACGCTTCTTTGCAAGGAGAAGACTAAATGATAGCTCGTAGAGACAAGTGAATGTGGGCACAGGGAGACTCCTCAGCCTATGCACATTTGGAAACCAGAAATCCCAGCACCTGGAGTTTTTACAACTCAAGCATAGCAGCACTTTTTAAAACTGGAATTTATCAGGTTGTTAGTTCCTAGTGTTACCTAGGGCCTCCAGGTGTTTAAAATATAAAGCCTCAAACGCCTAAGATACCCCTACTTTCTGCATTTATTGAACAGGCGGTACAGCAGCTTCCAAAGGCTCCACTCTGAACTGTAAAAGAAAAGGCTGCATTAAACTACAGTTCAGAATGGGTCTCGAATGCAGAGCAAGGCAGCCAGCCCTGTGCTGTGGCAGTAGCCAGGCCCAAAAAGCCAGCAGGGTCCTGGAGGCCACTGCCAGGGACCTCAGCAGCTGCCTGAACAGGATCAGACCCTTTGGGAGATACTGCGTTGGAAGGGACTTGGTTTTAAAATCCTGCTTCGATTTCAGCTGCCTCCCTAACGTACTCAAGTGAAGGCACTTTTGTCAAGCGACAGCACAGCAAACTCCTCTTGCCAAGGTACCTGGGGAGCAGAGTTGCTGGGTAAACAACACTGTTGAATATTTAAACATTAGTACACGGCATGTCTGATGGGCTGCATCCTGTCTCTCTCCACCCACACTGGGAGAGGGTACAGCCCAGCGGCCAGAGAGTGGGCTCGATTACCTCCTCCTGGCTGGGGGCTTTAGGTGAGTCGCCTGTTCTCTCTGACAAACCTTAGTGTCCTTATCCGTGCAAGGGAGATGATAACAGTACTCACCCTCAGAGCACTGGGTGAGAATTAAGGTACCAAGCAGTAAAGGGCTTAGAATGTGCCTGTGACAGTAGGAGCTCGAGCTCGGTAGGCACACACCACTGCACACACCACTGCCACTCTCCCCACAAGAGGGGGCTCTGCCTGCCCGCAACTTGCAGGGACAGTGATGCCTCGGAGTGAGCCTTCCTTACCCTGAGGGAGCTCAAGGGACACAGCCAGGAGCTCTGGCCAGTGCAACACATCAGCTGTGATGTCCAGCTCAACTGGAATGAGTGCCCCAGGACACAGCCCCAGAGCTTTGGGCAGCAGGGATGGGACCCAGGCAACAGACAGCTGCTGGGGTGGAGGCTGGGTGGATGGAGCATCTTGTTTGAAAGTGTTCCTTTTGATCCTAAGGGTCTCTGAGCTACTTGGGGGTGAGGGAACCGAGTGGCACATCCTAGTAGTCTGGTTAACTGAGAGTTACAGTCGTACCTAGGAACACTAAAGAAAATATTCACACGCATGTTTATCTATGCAAGTCTGGCCCAGTCTTTCTGCTATTGGACAAGCACCATTGGGCATCAAGTTAGATCCTGAAAATGAACCACTGCCCCACAGCTAGCAGTGTGGATGGTTGAAAGGCAGAAGACATCCCTGGAAGCTGCTTTCTCTTTCTTCTGCCTGTTACAAAAGCAGAGGACGGCTTGGTCTCATCACCAATACCACCCCCAAATTCTAATGTGGCTGAGATTTATGGTGACACTTGACAAAAATGCTTCATTCAGAAAGGAGTTGCAAACTGAGCGTAGTGGTGCACATTTATAATCCCAGCACTCTGGGAGGCTGAAGCAGGAGGATCACAAATCTGATCAAGTGAGACCCTGTCTCAAAATCTAAAAATAAAATAAAAGGGTTAAGGATGTAGTTCAGTACAAAGGCTCTGGGTTCAATCCCTAGCACCAAAAGGAAAATTTTAAAAAGGGAATGCTAAATGAATCAGAATTGTGTTAAGTCATTAATGAGAATCTGTTTCTGGCAGAACACCAAAACTTGAATCTAGCTTACCAACATTGGGTAAGCAAAAATATCCTGAGTGTCTAACGCTAACAATGTTGTTCAATTCACAATGTTGCATGGGCCTGACCCCAAACATCTGACCCATGTGTGGAGAGCCTCCATTAAACTGGAGGGGATAAATAAGCTCGAGGAGCCCACGTAAGAAAACATCTGTGAGCTCAGAAGCGCGGGAGCAGCAACCCCCAAGGAGTCGGAGAGAAGGTCTCATGGGCTTTTGCTCCTCTCCTGCCCCTGCACCAGCTACCAAGTATTAACACAGTGAGTTAGAACCTGTTGGGAGTGCTGCTGTCACTGGGAAATCAGAGGAACTGAAAAATACTTGAAAGGGGAAATTTCAGAGAGAAACACAGGCAATCTGCTTTCTACCTAGCAGTTAAATAAAATTCTATGTAAGGTTTTGGTTTTTTTTGTTTTTCAGCAACATCTCCCTCCCAAATCGCTTTTCTGAGTCAGGAAAGAGACTGGAACAGTTAGTTTACATGGCCTGCATCTCAGGAATCACTGTTTCTACCAGCTTGGCCACTGGTTTCCAACAAGTTCAGTCATGTCCTAAGAAATAGCGGACCAGCTCTGGTCTGCTGGAAACTGGGACAGAACCCGTCTGCTGGGCAGAAATGAGGTTACAGGGCAGCTGGGGGTGGCTCAAGCACACACACACACACACACACACACACGCACGCACGCACGCACGCACAGGCAGGCACATACCTCCTGAGGACAAAGCCTTTCACCTTCTCCGCCTGCCTCCCAGGGAGTTAGAGCAGCCTCCACCAGGAGAAAGCATTTATTTGCTCAGCTCCCAGGGCCCCTCTAACTTAGCCACTGCTACAGAACCAAACATGCCTGGGTTTCACACTCTCCGGGACAGCGGTGCACCCTGGGAAAGTGCTGGCTCTTTTAACTCTTTAAGGCCCTCTCACCTGGAGGCCAAGGAGTCATTAATTATCCTGGGGGAGCCAGGGGAGATCAGTCAGTCCCCCAAACGGTGACATTTCCAGAGCTGGGCTTTCTCTCTCAGAGCCATACCTGAGAGCGGCAGTGAGCTGACCACCACACCAGCCTGTTACCTGGCCCCTCTGCCGGCCAGTCCTCACACACAGGCGCCCGCTCGTGCCTGACAGCAAGCAGATTGCAATGACAAGCCACAGCCACAGGGAAGCCCCTCAAAGCCTTCGCAACCCCCAAATTCTTTGCAGAACCAGGATGGGTGGAAATAAAGAGTTAAATAAAAACCTCAATTGCTTTCTCTGCATACACTCTCACAGAAATATGGATTAAATGAGATAAAAAATGAAAGCTGTTGGTAACCTCGAAGGCACCATGCAAATGTTAGCCATTTGTGTAAGGATCACTGGGGTGGAGAGTAAACAAGAATCCTACAAATCCCCACCACCACCCCGATCCAACCTTACCACGCACAGGGGGAAACTGCAAGTCCACGTTGCTAACTGAGCAGAAGGCCTTGAGAACACATCTGACCTGACAGTCCGGAAAGTGCTGTGTAGGGCTAAGCTCCCCAGAATTAGTGCTCATTAAGCCACAGAGCTCAGCTGCTAAGCGCCTTCTCCTGGTGCCACTCAGCTCCAGGACACGGGGTTTGCCTAATGGATCCTCTACTGGGACCTAAATGGCATACACAGACCTGACCTATGCAGGCTGGGACAGAATTAAGAGAAGCCAGAAAAGACAAAGGAGAAGAGAGAGAAGAACAGGGTTTGAAAGCAACATTTCTGGCTGGAGACAGGCGAGCTTGACCTCAGCACTGAGCTTCCTACTGGTGACTGTCCTGGTCCCTCTGGAAAGGGGCCCTGGGCTCCCTCGGCCTCCACCTGCCCTAGAAGGCCAGGTTCCTGACGTGGGGTGATCAGGAGCTTGTGAAGTGAGCCCGGAACCGGCTGCCCTTACCTTGATCCGCCACGTTCTCAATGTTGACCTTTCGCTCGTTGGCCATGAAGCCGATGACGGAGAAGATGACGAAGCCAGCAAAGATGCTCGTGGCACTGTTGGTGCAGGTTACAATCAGAGTGTCCCTGAGAGGAGGAGACCAGAGTTTGCCATTAGGTGGGCTTCGTGTGAGGCACAAGGGGAATGACAAACAAAATATGCTGCGTGTGCACGTGTGTGTGTGTGTGCGCGCATGCCCAGGCATGTGCATGTCATCTCTACACAGGTATTCACCCAGGGACACAAGCAGTTCTGACCACCGACGCCCTTAGCCTGACTTCAAAAGCCTCATAAACACCTCACCCAAGTGCCTGACCCAGGGCCCATGTGCTTAGAACTGAGTCTCAAGGCATCCACTGTGGTCTAAACAGCCAGGTAGCATTAAGGAGCGGGGCCCCTGGGGGAGCTCACAAAGCCAGGAGGCCTCGCTCTCACGAGGAAGATGAGGCTGCAGGGAGTGTGTGGCTCCTTCAAGAGCCAGGACACAGAATCCAGGCCCCATGTGGGGCTGAGAGCGAGTCCTCCCCAAACACTGCACCTCCTGGCACCTCAGTATCCAATTTCCACTCCCATCCCATTTACCTGCTCCTCCACGCATCCTAGCCCTCTCCTTCCCTCTCATTTCCACCTCAGATATTTCTTCCCCTCCTGGACCTACCTGCACTCCTCCCCAGTGCAAATCTCACCTCGTGAGGCCCCCGCTTACCTGTGGTCCTTCCTCTAAAATTCAGAGATGCTTGAGAAAAGTCTGACCCTTAGTCAAGGCTCATGCCATACCAAGTGAATGAGTGGATGCCTGCAGCCATTGCCATGGACTAATTATGTCCCCAAGCCTGGCCTGGGCTCCCAGACCTGGCTTCTAGGACCGCTGAATGCATGACCTAGAAAGTGGGAGCTGTGGCTGCCCCAAAAATGGGAGCAGAAGTGCACTGCTCCACAGCTAGATGGCCAGAGGTGTGGAAGCCCGAGGACACAATCTGTCCTGACGCGACCAGCGTTCATCCTGATCGTCAGAGTCATCGCTGGCTCTCAGCACCATCCTTTGCTCCCAGCAGTGTCAGTATGAAGCCCTGGGGACACTGCCAGCTAAGACCAGATGCCTGAGGGCTCCGTCGTGGCTCTGTCACTGGGCACTGAGGCATTGCTCCTGTTCTGTACCCTTTCTTAAAACTGAGTCACCTTGAGCTCAATAAGCCTGTTGTGTCTTGAGAGTGTGACTCTCTGAATCCCCAAACCATACCCGTGATCTTGCAACTCTGCACCTTGATCCTAAACTATTTGAGGACAGGGACACATTTCGAATGTTTCTTCCTCATTCTTGGTTCATAAAGTATCTCATACATTATTTTTAAAATAACAATAGCACCATGGCTCCGAGTGAAGTACTTAACTTGGTTTTCACAGACACTCATGTTAAAGTGCTGCTTAATGACAGAAAAACACCCACATGGTTTACATTCCTACTCACAAAGGGTTTCGTTCGTGACGCTCCAGTGTTGTTTTCCTTCCTGTTATCATCACTTCATACCATGTAATCTCACTCAACTTTTAAAAATTAGAAGTTATGCTTTTACGTCAGGAACTGGAGCTAGCTTCTCTTGAGAGCAATGTCACTGTTTTTCAGAGGTATATCGGAGTGTTTACGTGCACATGCCAAGTTGCATGAGAAAATTCCAGACCATCTACCAGAATCTTTAATGGAAAAATACTTGCTCAAAACTTGACAGTCAAACCAGTGTCACCGGTGTTGATAAACGATATTGAAGCGATAGAGATCACAGGCCGGCTATTTCATTTTAAATCAGTAATAAGTGTTACAATGTGCTCAGAAGCCATCTCACTAGGAAGTGCCTAAGGTGGATCAATTTCTGGCTGGCACCATAATGGCTTTTCCTGTTGTATGAAAGGCTGATGGAAACAACCAAAAAGGCACGCATCAAGACCACTTTGAAAGTTGGGATTGTATAGGTTTTTCTTTGCCTTGGTATTGGAGATCTGTCAGGCAAACAATTCAGCGGTAGCTGGTAAAATAGCCTGGGTGTCTCAGGAGTTCTTAGCTAATCACCCTTTGTGAGAAAACAACTGAATCTGAGTTGCTCAGATTGAGGTCAAACTTTGATCATCCTGTCTCAGCCTCACAGAGTTTGAGGATTTAACATGCCTTTAATCATCTGTTTGGATTAAAAATAGAGCTCTAATTAAAAGTGAAAATTTACACAATTTAGGGGACAGTCTATGGCATATTTGTAGACCTGGCCTGGTTTGTTCATTGATAAGCAATGACTAGTCTAGTTGTGGAGCTAATAAATGAAATTTTTACATATCAAAAAAAATAGAAGTTATTTTGCCTTTAAAAAATTACCAATAGCAGTTGCCATTCATTGAGCACCTACAGAGTGCCAAATATTGCCCTGAGAGGGGCCAGGGATTTAGCTCAGTGGTTCGGGTGCCTGCCTTGCAAGCACAAGGTCCTGAGTTCGATCCCCGGTACCAAAAAAATAAAAAAACAAATATTGCTCTGAAAGCTTTGTATACATCATTGTTTACCCCTCAACAAAATACTACAATCTGTGTTTTACAGACGAAACAATGGGCGCTTAGAGAAGGAAGTGCCTTGTCCATGCTTACGGCTTAGGGTGTGGGGAAGTCACAATCAAATCACCTGTCAGGTTCGCAGGTGCTCTTTCCTCTGCTCTGCATGAGGCTGCCTTTCTTATGGGGTCTCTAGAGAAACAGGCGTCAAGTGACGGGTGACCATACTTTATAAGTGATGCTATGACTTTATATGTGGACAAGGGTTCGCCCAGATGACTACCACAGGACGTGGCTGGCTGCATGGTGGCCTCCAGAGGGGCTCAGTTCCATCCCCCAAGAGGCCTCTAAGGCTCCACCATGAGTCAGGGTCAGTAGGGTAGGTTGGGGACCTGCAGACAGCACCCTTGGCAGGTTGTTTCTCCCAGATCACAGGTGAATCTCTGACTCTACCTCAGGTGAAGCGGAAGGATGTGGCCTCCAGACCCTGCTAATTCAGTCCACTCTTCTGCCCCTGACCCTATTTCTGCTCACCAGGGCCTTCTGGATATTGGAAGTGCCTCCACATACCTGTAGCAGTTGTTGTGGAATTTGTTGTAAGAAGAAAGAGTGATCAGACCTCCCCAGGCAGCAGATAGAGAGAAGAAAATCTGAGTGGCAGCATCTTTCCACACCTAGGAGGCAAAGCAGAGGACAGTCAAGGTCGCCGAAGGAGATGACGGGCCTCAGGGGAGGGGAGTCTCACATCCAGTGCCCCCTCGTCTTCCCAGGAAAGAGCAGTCAGGGATAAGATGACTGTGGATACCAACATCAATGAGAAATAGACTTCACTTGTACCTGAGGCCGAAGTGCATTAAATCACCTGGGAGGTTTTAACTCTGTCTAATCAAAGGTGAGGAACTCGACAAATCATGTGCATACTTCATCCTTACATTTCTACCACGAAAAACCAGAGGGAAAGGGAGAGCCCTTTTTTGGTTGATACAGACTCAAACAACAACTTACAACAACAAAATGTAACCATGGATATAAAATATTTACTGAGCATTCCCGTGGATTACAACTGCTATTAAAAACCTGACATTCTGTGGGCCCTGATCATAGTGAAGCAGTTTTGGTGACACAAGAGTGGGCTTCCTAGAACATCCGCCCTGAGCTCGGCTGATGACACTTCTTGATTGTCACATAATTCCTCTGGAATGTCCTCATAAAACCGCAGCTCATTCAAGAGTTTGAGCTGTACACGTAGGATTTACATGATGGACCGCCTATCATCCTTATAAATTCAATCCCGTTTTTAAACCGTGCTTAAAGTATGCAAAGATCAAGTTGGAGGCCACCCTGCCAAAGCCTCTGCCCACCCCTACCTTCATTCCCAGCAGGCTCGAGAGACAGTGCCGGGGTTTGATTTAGGGGCAGCCATATGCCTGACTTCCCCTTCTAAGGGAGGAGCAGACCCGGTTGCTAGGTAATCATATGCCCTAGTTTCTGGCCCACTGTGTAAAAATGAATGATGTGAAACTCCTAGAGTTTCTCTTCTTTAAAAGAGAGGGCAGTGCCTGTTTGGATCCCCATCTTTGCCTCTCTGCGATACCTGGAATGCAGATCTGATGCCCGGAGTTCCAGCAGCTACGTGAAAGCCATTCACTAGGACAGTGGAGCAGAAAGAGAGGAGCCTGGGCCCCTGATGGCATCCCGGAGTCGCTATCTACCCTGATGCCTCGGTGAAAGAGTGGGAGTGAGGTAGACCTTCGTCTTGTTTCAGCTGGTATTACCTGGAGATTTTCTGTTCCGTAAGCCAACTCAATACCAGCTGTGCTCTTAATATGCTCTGAAAAAGCAGACTTTTTTTTAAGGGGGGAAAATCCATCCCTCATTAAACACCCCACACACTTTAAGTTCTTTGGATTGTGAATTTCAGAGAAGAAAGGTGAAGTGCCTGTCGGTCCTGTGTGGGTGTGCGGAAGTGTTCAGATGTGTCTGAAGCCTTTACCATAACAGGACTGCTTTCGGTTCACCTAAGTGCTGTTATTTCCCAACCAGAACTCTCTCCCACACACTGTAAGAGACGGCCCAGAGCTACTAAAGGGATCTCGTTCTTCATTATGAGCCTGCCCTGCGACTCCAGCTGTAGGACAGCTATTCCAGGAACCCGAAAACGCTGGGCTGCTCACCTCTCATTAGGTACGTCCTGAGTACACAGCGAACCGAGTCCACCCAGACCCTACAGGAGCAGACCGCGGGGTTCCCTGGGGAGCAAGGCCCCGCACACCACCCGAAGGACCGTCCCTGAGGGCTGCCCACCCCGCCCCCAGCCCGCTACAGATGAAGTAGGAGCCCACCGTGGCATCCGTGAGCTTCTCCCACTTAGGTGTGATGAAGTACCAGATGCCAGCCCCAGCTCCCGGTAGCGTGACTCCCCGGATGAGCAGGATCACCAGCACGACGTAAGGGAACGTGGCCGTGAAGTACACCACCTAGAAGACCATTGGGCAGAGACTCGGTGAGCGCGTGCGCAGAACGCGTCCTGCAAAAGCAGCAGCACCTCAGGCCAGGCGAGCTGCCCCCGAGGCATGTGCACCCTCCAGAGTGAGGGACTCAAGGAGGATCCTAGGACTAGCTCCTACCCCCTCATCTGGTGGAGGCCCAAGCCTACCATTAGAGGTGAATTCTTTCTGCTTAGGCCTTCCTTCTCTCCTTACACGAGCGCCCTAAGTGAGGTAACCAGTGAGGTGGAAGGATCGTGATCTTAGACACGCTTGGGTGCAAATGAAACTGAACCTCTGGCCCTGAGCAATTGTGTGGCCTTGGACAAGCTCGTTAAGCTCTCTGAATCTCAGTTTCTGCATCTGTAAACCGGGCACAAAAGCACCCTTCTTACAAGCCATCACGGGGATTGAATGAGCTAATGCATGACCAGCGCCTGGTACCAGCCTGGGCCGTAACACCGGGTTATGAAGGGCAGGTGAGAGCAACAAGCAGACTGGAGGTTCCTGGGAGCCGGCTGCTGCGCCAGGCGTGGCTCATAAAGGTGAGGGACTGAGCAGGAGAGGTGACAGGGTCTGAGCCATGGCGAGGCCGCTGCACACAGGAGATGGGACGCCCGGGGAGACCCGTGGAGAGGACACCTGCGCTACTGCAGGACGGGGCAGCTTCAAGGAGTGCAGCCGGGGGGGGGGGGAGCGAAGGGAGTGGGCAAAGTGGGCGTGGAAGGGCGAAGCATCATCACTCCCTAGGGAAGAGCGTGAGGCTCAGGGTAGAGAGAGGGAGTGGGACACGGTGGAGAAAACCATGCACGGGCGGCCCCGGATCCCGCCAGAGAGAGGGAGGGCACTGGGGAGGAAACATCACCCGGACCTGGGGGCTGTTCGGCTGTGGATGGGTGGGAGGTGCTTGCCTTCTCTACCTGTCAGCCAAGCCGCAGGGTGCAGCAGGGGCCTGAGATCGGGATCGGGTAGATGGGGGAGAAGAGCAAACTACCAGAGCTCAGGCTCTCCAGCCAAACAGGGCTGAGTTCAAATCCTGACTCTACCAGTTCCGAGCTGAGCCATCGTGGGAGGTGACTTAACCTCTTTGAGTCTCAGGGTCCACACCTGCAAGGTGGCAGTGACAACAGTACGTTCTTCGTGGGCTGCTGGAAGGGACTCTGGCCCCCAAATGTGCTGTGAAACACTTGCGGATGGGGTTAAGCTCCCACTAGGTGAACATACCTTCTCCTATGCGCGGGGTGGGCATTACAGCTTCTCCATCCCATGTGATCTCCCGTCCGGGGCCCACTGGGCACGCGGCCCTGTGAGAGGGACAGCGACCCCGCCACACACCAGCTGCCCACTTTGGAGAGCCTGGCAGCCAGCAGCAGGCACCGGGATTTCAGGGATGGGGACTGATACGGGGACCTGCAAGGGAGAGCAGATCTCTGGCTCCTAGCGAGGTGGCCCGTGGACCCAGCAGGAGAGAAGTCCATGGGCCAGAGGGGAGGGAGAGAGAGATTGAAGAGCAGGGTGGGGCCTGGTGAGGACTGTGGGGGCCAGGACGGGGCTTGGGGCAGAGGAGTAACAGGCCCTAACATTTGAACGGTGTCATCCAGAGCTACTTCACTAGTACACTGCAGGGTGCCAGGGACAGGCTGGGGCAGCAAACCAGACAGGCAGTGGCGATGGCTCTGACCAGAATGCCATGGGGGGCTGCTGACAGGCAGACGGTGGGTGTATTTTCAAGAAGAGCAAAAGAATTCCTGTGGTGGGCCTCGCGGCCATGGACGCCACAGCGCTGGAGCGGGACGCCCTGCATTTCGCCCGGCTCCCAGTGCAGCGCGACCACGAAGGCCGCTACTCCGAGGCGGTGTTTTACTACAAGATAGGGAGTTGCTATGTAGTTCAAGCTGGGCTTGAACTCACTATGTAGCCCAGGCTGGCTTTGAACTTAGAAGGATCCTCCTGCCTCAGCCTCCCAAGTACTGTGATTACAGGAAGCAGCACAGGCCTTAATTTATGCTGAGATGGGAGGATCAAGCCTAGAACATATTCAAGAAAAAATAAATGAGTATCTTGAAAGAGTTCAAGCTCTACATTCTGCAGTTCAGTCAAAAAATGCTGGTCCTTTGAAATCCAAACATCAATTAGACTTAGAGTGTGCTCATTTTCTTGTTACACAAGCTTTTGATGAAGATGAAAAACAGAATGCTGATGAAGCTAGACAATTGTATACAGAAGCTGTGGATCTCTGTCTGAAAACTTCTTCTGAAACTGCTGATAAAACCCTGCAAAATAAACTGAAACAGTTGGCTCGGCAGGCACTAGATAGTGCAGAAGCATTGAGTGAGCCTTTGACAAAACCATTCTACAAAGTCAAGTCAACAAATATTAAACCAAAGCCACCTCCAGTGAAGACACATTTTCCACTAGGAGCTAATTCTTTCCCTGAAAAGCCTCAGCCATTTATAAGTCCGCAGTCATATGATGCACAAGGACAGAGGTACACAGCAGAAGAGATAGAGGTGCTCAGGACAACTTCAAAAATAAATGGTATAGAATATGTTCCTTTCCTGAGTGTTGATCTGAGGGAACGTTTTGCTTATCCAATGCCTTTCTGTGATAGATGGGGCAAGCTACCATTATCACCTAAACAAAAAACTATGTTTTCCAAGTGGGTACGACCAGAAGACCTCACCAACAATCCTACAATGATATATACTGTGTCCAGTTTTAGCATAAAGCAGACAATCGTATCAGATTGTTCCTTGGTGGCATCATTGGCTATCAGTGCAGCTTATGAGAGACGGTTTAATAAAAAGTTGATTACCAGCATAATTTATCCTCAGAATAAGGATGGTGAACCAGAGTACAATCCGTGTGGAAAGTATATGGCAAAACTTCACCTCAATGGTGTCCCAAGAAAGGTGATAATTGATGACCAGTTGCCTGTTGATCATAAGGGAGAACTGCTGTGTTCTTATTCCAACAATAAAAGTGAATTATGGGTGTCTCTCATAGAAAAGGCATACATGACAGTGATGGGATTTCCCAGGATCCAACTCGAATATTGATCTGCATGCATTGACTGGGTGGATACCGGAAAGGATTGCTGTGCATTCGGATAGCCAAACTTTCAGTCAGGATAATTCTTTCAGAATGCTTTATCAACGATTTCACAAAGGCGATGTCCTCATCACCGTGTCAACCGGAATGATGACTGGGGCTGAAGGAGAGAAGTGGGGCCTGGTCCCCACACACGCCTACGCTGTGTTGGATATTAGACAGTTCAAGGGGCTGCAATTTATCCAGCTGAAAAATCCTTGGAGCCATTTACGTTGGAAGGGGAGATACAGTGAAAATGATGTAAAAAACTGGACTCCAGAGTTGCAAAAATATTTAAACTTTGATCCCAGACAGCTCAGAAAATAGATAATGGTAAATATGTCTTTGTAATTGTAGTACCATTTGCCAAATAAATAACATGTTTAAAAAAAAAAAAAAAAAAGAATTCCTGTCTTAGCTAACTGGGAGTGAGGGAGTGAGGGAGGAGTGAAGGTTTGCTCCTAAGTGTTTGGCCTCAGCAACAGAAAAGGTGGAGCTCCCGCTTGCTGAAATGGCGAAGTGACCTTGGCGTCTAAATCCAATTACTCGAGGCCAAGCTCTTGTTTTCTGACTGCAGACCCGGGGACGGGCTAGCTGCCTCTTTTTTCCCTCCACTGACCAGGACTTGTCTCTCCTGCCCACAGGACGGCAGTCTGTCCTCCCCTCTGGTCCCCAAGAAGCGGCAATGGTCGGGGCTGGGGGAGGCGACAGCAGCCAGCTCCCTCCCCCATCTACAAACCCACTTCTATCCTCCTCTTACAGTCGCAAGGAGAAGCAAAGGCCCTGCCCAGAGCGATGTCACAGAATGAAAGGAGCCCCGACATCTCGAGGACATGGCCCCTCCTCCTCCGAGAGGAGGAGGAGCTACCGGAGAGGGCGTGGTCTTGGTGGTCTCCGCCCGTCTGACCTCCACCCCTTCCTACGGCCGTTGGTACAGCCAGGGGACAACTGAGGCCGTCTGGTCTGGGGCCGGTGGGAAAGAAAGGCGACAGGTGGAAACGGGCGATGTGATGACCAGGCAGCAGGAGCTGCAGGGGCAACTTCCAAGACCGGAGCTCCGAGACTGGTGCCGGCCCCACCAGCCGAGCGAGCCGTGCCCTCGTCCGTCCGCGGGGGACAGGTTAGACAGCCCCTCCTGGAGCTCCCTCTGCCGACCGGGTACGTCATTCAGTCCCATTTCACAGAGGGGGAGGCTGAGGCCTCCTGTTAAGCGTCTCACAGGGAATTAAATGTCTTGTTCCGTCTCCCACTTGAGGCAGGATTCAGACCCAGCGCTTTCTCACTCTGAAGCCATTCTTTGCCCTGTTCCACGGGCCGCATCATCGGAAGGGGGGACTCAGCTGAGGCCAGTGAGGCCCCCGTGCCCACCTGTGTGTGAGTGCTTCCTTCAGGTTTGCCCCTAAGCACTTGCTTGCCCGCCTGCTCCTGGCCCGGGGTGCAGATGACAGGTGCCCTTTATAGATGTCAACCTTGGGGACCTGAGAGGGCTGGGAGTTTGGTTTCTAAATCCTGAGGACGCCTCACCTGTGAGTGAGGTGTGCATGGAGGCTTTATGCACGGGCGGCTCCCTGTATCCGGGGCCTGAGAACGCACCTGCTTCAGCATGGACTGTCAGAGGAACTCAACATGAACAGTCATGAATTCGACTTGGCGGGAGTGACAGTGACTAGCTGATGACAACCGGTGGCTGGCTAATTAGGTTGGCTTCGCTCTTCCAGGCAGTGCCGTCCCGTGGTCAGTGAGCCAAGTTTCACCTGCAGGTGGCCTGCAGGTCGCCCCAGCCTCTGGAGCTCTAGCTGCTCAAAGGCCTCCGTCTCAAAAGAAGCAGTCAACCATTTGTGGCTCCTGGGGTCCTAACCCAGAAGAGCTGAGCTGGCCGCACTGCAGGGCGAGGGGGCCATTGAAATCCGGTGTTGGTGGAGTTGCAATCCCGGGGGCTCATCACAATGAGCACGTCAGCCGTGCGTTCCCCTCAGCTCTCAAGCAATCCTCCATGATTAATGTCTGTGTAGCCCAGGGCACGATAATACGGTGTGATTCATTGTGTCTATTGGTATTCCTCACTTTTTAATAAATTGGTCTTTGGTTGGAAACCTTTCTCGATGAAGCAGGAAGGGAAGTTGGCAGGGAGAAAGAAAAATGCACCTGCTTACAACTTTGTACTCTAGAAAGCCTCCAGAATGTAGCACCAAGGATTAAACTCCAAGTCCATTGAAAGAACTGGCTATAAAGCCATTCCAAAAAGCACAACAAACAGGGCTTGTTGGAATGCTACAGAACATTTACTCTAGCCCTTGACTTTGCACATGAGGAAAATAAGCCCCCAACATCCGGTGATTTGTCCCAAGTCTCACAGCAGAGGCGGGCAGCTGTGCAGGGTCCTGATTCACAGTGGAGGCTTTTAGCCCCACTGCATGCAAATAGTTTTCATTTCCCCTCTACCCCCAGCACCTGTCCCTGGGGGAGATGCCATGTAGGTTCTAGGCTTTACAGCAGGCCAGGCCCGAGTTCAGATCCCACACTGGCACTTACGCTGTGTGACTTCAGGGGATTTTCTACACTTGGAGGAGCCTCCTCTGTCTGTGAGAGGGGAACCACTGCGCTCAGCAGCGGGTGGTTGAGAAGACAGAATGAACCAGTGCACGCGAAGCGGTCAGTATGGTCCCAGACAGAGTGGTCCACAAAGCCCCCTCGCTCTCCTCCCATTTCCCCCCGAAACCACTGCTTCCCAGATGTCAAAGTGCATGACACCCACTCAGTACCCCAGGCACTCATAATAAAACTGAATGAAATGAGCGAACGGATGCCAGATATGTTACAGGCACTATTTCACTCCGTGCAGCACTCCCACGTGGTAGGTACTATCATCCCCAATGTATAGACTAGCAAGCAGTTCACAACTAGAAAACAACACAATTAGCAATTCACAATCAGCAAACAGCACACAGTGTTGACAGTGACAGAGCAAAGGTTTTGACTCAATTTGGTCTGGCTCTGGAGCCACCAAGGCCTCCTTCCTCACACCACCGGGAACATGGCTGTTCTCACCCTCCTCACTGCTCAGCTCTTCTGCCAGTCTCACCTTGTACCCTGTCCGCCAGGTCATGGCTGAGGCCACCTTCTCTTCTCCATCTCCAGCTGCAAAGAACCATCCTGCTGGGAGGATTTCAGCTGAGCAAATACTTGGCTGGGCTTGCTGACTGATCTCCTGGCCGGGCCCTCAGAAGCTGATGAATTCCCACTCGATCTCAGTTCCACACCAGAGAAGGCAAGAATGCAAGGACATGGCCACCCTGGCTTGCTGTAAGGGACACTTTACGATTCCCCTACTTCCTACAGCCTTAGAAAACCCATCGATCCAGTCTCCCAGTACTCATTCCAAGCCAGCAGGGGCATTTTACAGAAAGGGAAACTGAGTCCAGAGAGGACAAGTGGTCTTCTAGCTCACTCGGCAAGTGTTCAACAGAATGTTAGACCCAGAAGGACTTGGGCTTCACCCAGTCTGATTGCCATCACACTAGAAACGAGGACACTGAAGTCTCCTGAAATAGCTAAGATGAGAAAATGTTCTTTTCACGTATTGGCAAAAACATACAAAAGCTAATCACAAATCAAAAGCTCAGCCAAGTTTCTTGGCCTGGTGGGAGATGTCCCTAAACAGCAAACAACTTGAGATGTCCCAGAGGCCAGGAGTCAAGGCCTCCCGACCTGCAGTCTGGTTCTCTCTAGCTGGCTGGGCTCTCCCAAACACACAGTCTGAGGTACCAGGCGTGCCACTGCCCCAGGCAATGCTCCCAAACCTGCCAGAGTCACCTTTCAAGGCCCTGTGTCAACAGCTGACGTGAGAGAGCCAGAGTGCTATGACCAAGAGGAACACATGAGGTGTCCAAGTGCCCAGAGGGAAGACAGATTGGTCTGTGTGGCCAAGGGGTGCCACGTTTGGGTGCCTGCTGGGGGCTGCGAGGCGTGTGTGTCAGTGGAAGGTGGACAGACCAGCCCCCCCAGGAGACCTGATCCTCACAGAGCCCACTGATCATAATGTAATCACAGAAAGCCCTGGCCGGGACAACTGGACCAAGCTCAACCCACAACCTATGGTCTCGGAGTCCACCATTACATCTTAAGTTGCTGGGCTTTAATGACATCTTCACTTTCCTCCTGAAACATACAATGCCTCTCAAGGTGAGGAAATGCAGTAGGTTTTTGAGCAATACAAGGGGGATTGGTTAACCCTTCAGTGGGGGATTTGTAGGACAGCAGGAACATGGAGCAATGTCAGTGAGACCCTACAATGCATAGTGTGGCCTGCAGTCACCGGACTCCTTGCTTTGGATTGGAACTGAACTGGAGTTCCATGTCTCCGAAGGCCCACCCAAAGTCCCATGGCAAGCTAGCCCTGCATTAGTGCTGGAGGATGTGCTGGGGAGGAGCACTGGGCCCGGGAGCGGGAGGAAGGGTTGAAATCTAAGAACAAGATGGTCAGGAGTGAGAAGGAGCCCACCTCACCATTTTGATCTTCAGCCAGCTTCTTAGCAGAAGCAAGAACTGACCTGGCAGCTGGACCGAGAGGTATAAAGCCAGCAGCACGGGGTCTAGCGTTTAAGGAAAGCAACAAAGGTATACCAGGGCCGCTCCATCTGCAGAATGAGGAGCAGCCTCTGACAGGGAAGGACAGGAACTAGTTAGAGTCCCTTGGCACACCTTGAGGGCTCAGTACACATCTGTCTCACTGAATCCTTAATGCTACCCTGCAGGAAAGCTGTTTTGATCTAATTTACAGATGAGAGCAGAGTTACTGCCCACAGTCCACAGCTACCGCGGGGTAGATCGAGCATCAGGGCCCACATCTACCGGCACTCTCCCCTTGTCTGTTCTGTAATGCACCCCTCCTGGGCAGTCCAGGGGTTTTCCTTACTCAGGTAAATCCAAGTTCTTACTTTTCCTGAAGTCTTGATTCCTTTAGCCAGGGATGCGTACACGATCACCCAAGCCAGGAAGAGGCAGAAGGCTAGCGGCCACCTGATCTCACCAGGATACTCGATTCCAGCAGAAATCTTCAGCACAAAGTACCTAAGAATCAGAAAGAGGGGAGGGAGAGGAGGAAGGGGAGGAGAAAGAAGGAAAGGGGAGGTGAGAATCTTGATGCTTTAATCTCCCCACAGAGCCTAGAACTTCAAACCACGCCCAACAGCTCCCCATCAAGGGTCTGGGCTCTCTGCAGAGACCCCGCCTGGGTGTCCTCTGCTCCTCATGAAGCTCAGGATTCTGTGCAAAACACCCAGACCAGCATCACTGCAGCTGCCCTGGAAGTGCAACTGGAACCCTCAACTGCAGAGGACGATGTGTGTGTTTTCTGGACTGTTTTATTCTTTTATGAGCATTCACACATATTTGTATAATTTTAAATTTTAAAAACTGGCACAAGCCAGACTTCATGGTGGTACAGCCCTGTAACCCCAGCACTCTGGGAGGCTGAGCTAGGAGGATCTCAAGTTTGAGCCCAGCATTGGCAACTTAGTGATTTAGCAAGACCCTGCCTCAAAAAAAAATAATAAAGACTGGGGATACAGCTCAATGGAAAGGTGCTGAGTTCAATCCATCCCTAATGCTGCAGAGAGAGAGAGAGAGAGAGGGAGAAAGAGAGGGAGGGAGGAACTGCTTATGCTAAGTGACTAAACATGCTGGCCTGGCTGAGGCTGGCTGACATGTAGAAGGGGCTGCTCTGACTTATCCAAGGATCAGACGCAAAGACAGGAAAGCAGAGGCCGACACAGAGGGGCCTTTGCATCTGTGCAGCTGCCAGCAACCCGAGTGTCAGCGATGCCAGTGCAGAAGTGGCAGGCTGGCCCCTCCTACGTCCCTGTGGGCAGATGCAGCCTGGCCTGAGAGCCAGCGGGGCAACCTGGTCCTGAGGACTGGAGGCAGCTCCAAGGACAGAGTCCCTGCAGAGCCGAGCCAGCCACGAGTCCTGCAGGAAGCTGCTGGGTTTGTGAGGCAACAGTTTTCTGAGACCTGCAGGGTCCAAGGTCTCCAGCTGCAGGGGTCGTGGGATGGCAGCCCTGCTCCAGCCTCACCAGCTGCTGCTCCCCAGCCAGCAGCTGCTCAGGGCCTTGAGGCTGCCCTCAGCACCCAGCCCTGCCTCGAAGGACAGGGACGGGTATGCCTGTGGGGACAGAGCCTCTTCCGGTGCCAACCTTGGAGAACCCTGGGCTCCAGGGCTGTGTGGGGTGACCCAGGAGTGGATCCAAACTTGGCTGTGAGGCCAAACCTTGGGGACTGTATTTCCCAAGCGATGAAAAGGACCTTCCCCGTGACCCCATCCCCAAATGGGTAAAACACCTGCTCATCAGTCACGAAGCACCTCGGCCACCTCCACGCTCCGGGAGTAGGTAAGAGATCTTGCACAGGTCCCTCACGAAAGCTCCCAGGAACATTTCTACTCAGAAATTAACTGGCCCCAAGGGCTGAGGAGAGACCACCAAAAGCGGGTTTGGACAGACTGTGGGGTCAGCTTTGCCTGGTCCCGGTGGCCGGCCCCAGGGTCTCAATGCCGGGGGAGCACAAGGCCGCCCACACGGTGGTCAGCGGTCACGGGCCCTCCAGCTTTCCTTTCCCTCTGTCCTCCAGGGCCCAACCCGGTACTGCCTGAGCCCCACAGGAGAAAGCCCGGAGTAGGAAAGAACGGCAGCTGGAAGAGATAGGAAAGCATCAGTGGCTGTTTCTTAGGAAGAGTAAAGGCCACAAACCAAAGGCCCTGATAACCTGCGTCGTATTGGGCTCGCGCTCTGTTGGAAAGGTTTTACTAGCGTTTCAATGGGAGAGGTGACGTAGCGATCCAGCCGAACCCCAGCTTCTCCTGTAACACGGACGCTGCACGGTGCTGAGCACCCTCCCGAGGCAGTGACAGCTGAGGGGAGCGTGACGCGCCCACCTGGCAGAGTGGCCTGGCGTCCCCTGCAGCGTCCACTGTCCCCACCGTTCCCCACAGCCGTGCCTGTTTATACTTCACTTCTCTATGTCTGCTGCCAAGCCCCCGAGCACCTCAGGGCTCGTCACTCCTGACTTGAAGGTTAGCCTGACAACATTCTTTATCGGGCCTCAGTTGGACTCTCTACTTTTACCTCCCTTAAGAAACAATTTCAAGGGCCGGGGATTTAGCTCAGTGCTTCCACCGCCTGCTTCGCAAGCTCAAAGACCTGAGTTTGATCCCTGGTACCAAAAAAAAAAAGAGAAAGAAACAATTTCACAAACTTTACTAAATATTCTTATGCTAACTGAGGACTTTCTCATATTCCTGAGCCCCGGTCGTCACCATATAGCAATATTCGCAAGGACTCGAGTTCGATCCCTGGTACCAAAAAAAACCAAACATATAGCAATACAGATATAAGCACACATCCGTAATCCCAGCAGTCTGGGGGGCTGAGGCAGGAGGATCACATGTTTGGGCTCAGCCTGAGCAATTTAGTAACTTAGTGAGACACTGTCTTAACATAAAAAATAAAAAGTTCCAAGGGTTCAGTGTGAAGGCTCTGGGTTCAATCCCCAGTACCACAAAAAGAAAGAGAGCAATAATACAGATGTAGAAGTACAAAACTAAGGTAAAGTAGGAGAAAGAAAGAAAGAAAGAAAGAAAATAATTCTTATTTAAACTAAAACTTTGGCCAGGATTTGTTTTCTTTTTTTTGGTGCTGGAGATCGAACTCAGGACCTTGTGCTTGTGAGGCAGGCGGTGGCACCAGTGAGCTAAATCTGCAGCCCTTGTTTTCATATTTTTACCTCTCATTTCTGAAGTGTAACTGAGAAAAACATCCTGGTAAACTGAAGGTCTCTTAGATAGCACGGGATCGCAGTTCTAAAATGTTTTCTTTTTCAGAGATGGAGAGAGGTAGGAGGGAGAATAGGGAGTAAATGCAGCCTGGAGGGAGGGGAGGGGACGTAAGAAGAACGAAGATGTGTTCTGGGCAGGACCAACTCCTCTGGTGCAGGTAATCACTGTGTCCTGCAAACATGCCCTGATGATAAACACTTTAATTAAATAAAACAAAACGTTTTCTTCTTCATCAGCAGGATGAATTGCAGCAGCCCTGACTTCATTCCCATCCACCCTCCTGCAATCTACTTCTGGAAGCAAAACCAGGAAAGTCTTCATTCCTGATCATCAGGAAGGTGAGAAAGAAGGATGCAGAAGGAATGACCCAGCCCGACAACCCCTCGGCTGTGGTCTGTGAACGGGTTGGTCCTGAATTAGTGGGCTTTCTTAGAGAGGCTTTTAAGACACACACACTCACACACAAGCACACACACGCATGTGCGTGCACACACACTCACACACACGCCCCAGCCGTCTTACTTGAAGTACTCTTCACTCCCACTGACGAACGTCTTGTTGGCCTGGCTGGTGAAGTTAACCGTGGTCAGGTTGGGATAGGCTGCCATGCAGAATGTTGAGTTCTTGATCTGTATTTTGGGGTGGTCGCTGATAACACAGGAGTCTGCAGGGGAGGATGGGACAGACAGTGAAATCTGGGCAGAAGGCAGATACCTCTCTCTCTCTCTCTCTCTCTCTCTCTCTCTCTCTCTCTCCCAGCCTCAAAACCTAGGCCAAAAACACCCACCCAATACTGCAGAGGAAGCTGGGGCAAGTGTGAACTGAGCAAAGGCGGCCGGAGAAGAGCCACAGAATTATGTTGCATTCGTCCTGGTCCCCAGGCCCACCAAGGTGCCTTGTATGGATAGCAGAGGCGTGAGCTCTGAGGTGGGCTGAGCACTTTGCAAGCATTATTTCCTTTAATCCTGACACCAGCCTATGCAGGAGATACATTATCTCCATTTTTTAAATGAGGAAATGGGCTTAAAGAGGTTAAGTGACTCAGCCCAGTGTGACAGTGCACGCCTGTAATCCCAGCATTCACGGAGGCTGAGGCAACAGAATCACACATTCCAGCCCAGCCTGGGCAACTAGCATGGCCCTGTCTCAAAACTAAAAATAAAAAGGGACTGGGAATAAGTTCAGTGCAAAGGCCCTGGGTTCAATCCCCAGTACAGAAGGAAAAAAAAAAAATGAGGCTAAGTAACTCCCAAGGTCAAACAGCTAAGGAGGAGGAGAACCAGAATCAAACCCAGATCAAAGCCAGAACGATTACAGAAATGGATTTAACCAGAGAGAAGCAAAACTGCGGAAGGGCTACTGCTACAGGGCACTGACTGACCAGTTCATCTCGGACGCACTGCCTGGTACCATGGCCAACACAGTCACTACTCTGAGGTACTTGTGCTGCGTCCTTCTGAGCCTCGCATGGGTTCACAGAGGCAGCGGAACCGTGGGCTGCTGTTCCTGTGGGAGACCTAACCTGGGTGTCTCTGTGTGGACCCCCAGGGACATCTGGTTACATCTGCAGACATCTTTAACTTTCACATCCGGAGGACCAGGAGCCGCTGGAACCTAATGGTAAGAGGCCACGGATGCTGCTAAACAGCCCACGGCGCCCAGTCAGTCCCCACATGAGGAATTAGCCAGCCCCAAACATCACCTGTGCTGGGGCTGAGAAAGCCTGGTGAGGCGAAGGAATGAAGCACATCAGGCCCCGTGCTGCACCCATGTAACAATTATTCACACACAGGGTCTTCATGAAACCCAGAAGTACATATTATTATCTGTATTTCAAATAGGAACAAGCTGAAGTCTCTCTGACCGTATCACAATGCCTTTCCGACAGCTAAACTGACCCGTAGTTTAAAGAGCGCTAGAGTTTAGATCTATAATGTCCCCCAAAAGTCTCATGCGTTTGGAAGGTTGGATGGTGGGGTGCTATGAGTTAGGAGGCGGAGCCTGAGGGAAGTGGTCACTGATGGAAAGACCCGGAAGGCTGTGTTCTTGTCCCTGGCTCCTTCCTTCCCTCCCCTCCCTGGGTGCCATGGGGTGAGCAGCTCTCCTCCACCAGGCCCTTCCACCATGCATTTCTGCCTTGCAGCCAACCTTCCAGGGACTGAACCCAGTGGGAACCGTGAACCAAATAAACCCTCTTCGTTTAAATTGTCTGTGTCTGGTATTGTGTCACAGCAACGGGAAAGTGACTAATACAAAGTGTTTACCAGAGTTCAACCTAAAAGACATTAAGATATTGTAAAGATACTAAAAGACATTGTAAAGGAGCAAATAACGATAACAACAGCTGTGCGGAGCCTCCCAGGTCTCAGCGACTGATTTAAGCGCTTCATACCATTGACTATTTTAAGCCTCACACTACCCCTGGGAGAGATGTACGGTAATTCTCTGCCGTGGCTTGCCAAGGTCCTACATCAAGCCTCGGGGCAGAGGGTTCTCTTCCCTTTGGAATCCATAAAACAGACTGCCCAGAGTCCAGGACGGTGACGTCATGAGGAAGGCATAAAGTGGGGGCGACAGAGAGGTGGGGACTGCAGCAAAAAGCACCCTTAGACAATCGGTGCCGTGCTTTCTGGATGTGCTAGCAGGGCACACAGAATATTGGCGATCTATAGAGAGCTTTCCATTTTACAATTTTGGAAATAGCCAGGGGTAGTGACACACACTGTAATCCCAGCGCTCGGGCAGGCTGAAGCGGGAGGACTGAAGTTTGAGCTCAGCCTGGGCCACCTTGCAACCTAGCGAGAGCCAGCTCAAAATTTAAAAAATAATAAAAAGGGCCTGAGGGTGTAATTCAGGGAGAAGGCCCTCAGTTCACGCCCCAGTTTCGGGGGTGGTGGGGTGGTGGAAATGAGTTAAAATCGATTTCAAGGACCAGGGGAAAGAAAGCTTAGGGCGGAGATGGTGACTCGTGCGCCCCCTGCAGGACAGCGAGGTCCCTCCGTCCGTCCACGTCTCCGGTAAGAGTCACGTCTAGTTCGCAGGTCAAAATAAGTGAAATCATGAACACAAACCAAGTCTCCCGCGGTGCCTGGCACACGGCTGGCACGCCGCGGTTTGGCCATAACTCAGCCAGTCGCCGTCCCGACGGCTGTCCGCGGAGCGCGGCCCACGAGCCCCGGAAACCACCCCACGCCCGCCCCGGCCTCGGGGTCAGAGGCTCATCCGGGCCTGCGGCAAAGCCGCGGCGCGCTCAGGCCGTCCGGCAGCCTGCAATATCTCTTCCCACCACTGGGCGGCAGGAGCGCGCTTCCAGCGACCGGCGCCCCCGGCCGGGGCTGCGGGCTCCCGAGGACCGGCCTGCTCCTCATAGCCCTGCAGGCCTGCAACCCGAACAAAGAACCACCGCGGTAATGATGGGGCTAAACAGGAAAGCTGTCGGATGGGGTTCGCTCTCCTCGGGCAGTTATTAATAAATGAAAGGAAGGGGATCATTCAATTAAACTTCTAATGAAAATGAAGCCATTCAAGAAATAGAAACGGTGCGAATGCCGTTCGCATCGGGAGTGACCCGCCGACCTGCCAGCTCCTTGATGCTCAGAGCAGTCGCTGGCCCCCGGGCAGGGGCGGAGGGATCTGTTTCTACTGCAGATCCCCGGAGGGCTGAGGCACCCCAAGGAACTCTATCCTCACCCTGGAAAGTGGGTGGCGAAGTCCACCTCCCCGGGCTGCAGACCCAGCGCTTTGCTTGGGGCCGAGGGGTGCCCGGCCCTGGCTTCTCCATGGTGGTCAGAGCCCCCATGTAGCCCGTCCCCAGAGCCCGGACAGGAGCACGTGACCCACATCTGCCCACCCTGACTGACGGTCACAGGGCAGGCCACTTACCCCTTCTCGTGTGGGACCAGCCCTTTCCCGGGCTGTCACGGGAGTGGGAGCTACGGGCCGAGAGAGCAGTTGACCCAGGAGGTCACTGGGGGGCCCTGCTCAGTGTGTCCCTTGAGAGACTGCTGGGACCCCCAGTTGTCCCAGAGAGAGCACAGACAGGGCCCCTAGAGCCACCTGTGACTGCAGGGAAGCTGCCATCACCTTTTCTGAGTCTCCCCAGAACCCCACATGGTCGACACCCCTGCGAGGGAGTGCCAGAGCCCAGGAGCGGAACACGTACGGATGACACAAAAATGACAGATGAGTGGGCCACACAGAGAAAGGGGGGCGGCTGGCACCTCATTTTTCTAACCAAAAAAAATTAAAGTCTGGGCTGAGAAAGAGATAGGATCTTCCCATCCCAGCCATTGGCTCGCAGTGAATAATCAGAGGGAAAAATGTCCATTGTCTCTTTGTGCTCCGGTGTGCATGGATTTTAGGGTCTGCACCGGTCGATTCGAGGCCTTGCTGTGCCTCTCATGTTCCTGGGAGCCAGACTAGAAACCGCACAAATCCACACTGGGGCAAGGTCATCCTGCCTTGTGGACCTGACCCACTGCCTGGCCCAGTCAATATACTTTGCTTTTAAAAATACACACACACATACATACATACATAGACTATAAAATAAATACAAATCCATAACAAAAAATATCGACAAGAATGGCCCCAAATCCACCATTGTTAACATTTTGCATATAACCTTCCAGTTTTCTGTATTGCTAGTAATGATAAAATCATAGTATAAATCAGAATCTTGCCCTTACACTTAATATTATATGGAAGAATTTCCCATGTTCGTGAATATTCATATTTAATGACTATAGAATACTCCATCTTGGCCCTGGGATTTAGCTCAGTGGTTAAGCCACCTGCCTTGCAAGCGCAAGGAACTGAGTTTGAGCCCCAGTACCAAAAAAAAAAAAAGAATACTCCATCCTATGGATGAACCATCATTTACTTAACAGTATGGCATTACCCAGTGGTCATGTGAATTTCTGTCACACATTTAAGAAGTTCTGCGGTTTTCCAATATTGTATTATGATTGTTATTAACAATCTTGTGACCTGCCTCTAGTTTCTCCCTGAAGATAGAAGTGGAATCATTAAGTTGAGTTGCTTGTCAAACATGCTCTGTATAATTTCAACCACAAGCAATAGTTAGGGGATGCCTGGGAGGAAGTTGCTTTGCTAGGACTTGTGGGATAGAAGCCCTGGATGAAAGATTCCTCCAGACCCTGGATGAGCTCAGGATCTCGGGTCCTGCAGCCCCAATTCCAGTGTTGGTTCTACCTGGCGACTTACAGCTTGAGCCTTGGAGTCTACTTTGTGACCTACAAAATAGCAATCAGGCCACCTGCCTTTTGAAACCCTTAGGGCTTCCACAAGGAATAACAGAAACATCATCTGTGAAGCTGCTTGGTAGATGGGAAAGCATTTAGCATAGTAGTTAGGACTATGGCTGTGGGAAGCAGGCAAACTTGGGTTCAAATCCCAGCTCCACCACACAGCTAGCTCTATGACCTTGAGCTCAGGTTTGTTTTTAAGAGTTAAGGTGCTGCACTGTTAGTAGAGGAGAATGGTGTATCTGAACTCCTGTCCCTCCTGGAGGATGACTACAGGACACTGTGCCCTGGGACTCATGTGGTGCCTGAGCTTAGTCCCCAGGGAAGCACCCCATGAGCCTGCAGCAGTGCAACAGCCCTGGCCCAGCAAGCACCGTCTGGGAAATGGAAAGGCACACCGGGCTTTGGGATGACCCTGACTGTGAATCATGGCTCCCTTCCAGGCCCCACACCCTGGCAAATGCACTGGGCCTAACAGGGCAGGCAACTCCAGGAAGCTGTTCTGACTGCTGAATGGTGGTTGAGAGTCTGTGAATAGCTACCACATGGGATTCTCCCAGCCCGCAGCTTTACAGAGCAACTGCTACGCAGGGAAAAGATGGGCCGCTTGGTTTCCATGCTGAGTAAGGACAGCGTAACTAAGAGACAGGCAGTGGCTGAGCGTGCCTCGGAGGAGGAGCATCTGCTCGGGTGACTTTAAGAATACAGATTCCTAGGCCCAAGCCCCAGATAGTCTACATTGGCTGGCCTGGTAAGCCCTAAGTGATCTTTGATTTTTTTGGTACTGGAGATCGAACTCGGGACCTTGCACTTTCGAGGCAGGTGCCAGAACCACTGAGCTAAATCCCTGGCCCCCTGATGCTTTGATTTTTGATTGTTGGTTCCCAGGTGTTTGTAAAGTGCAGCAGCCAGACTTGAGAACTGCTATTTTAACCTATGAAAGCATCAGCAGGGAAACTGTGAAGAGGATGACACGGAGGCGGAGGCGGCCGGAGAGGCTAAGGGACGCTTCCTCTTGGCTGTGTAACTAGAGAACCACACATCCGGGAACCTTCACAAATCCACATCCTGCTCTTCCCAAGCATGACCAGGAATTTCTTGGGCAAGTGTCTCCTGTTCTAGTTGTTCTCCAGTCTTATTCAAAGTTTCTCCAGGTGGAGGCTGGACATGGTGTGGATGTACCTACACAGGGGTGTAAAAATACTCCCGCATAGGGCTGGGGATTTAGCTCAGTGGTTTTGCCGCCTGCTGTGCAAGCGCAAGGACCCGAGTTCGATCCCTGGTACCCATAAAAAAAAAAACAAAAAACTCCAGCATAAATTACTGTCTTTGGATATGTGTATCTCTCTTAGGATTGAAAGAGAGAAGAATGTGCAGGGGAAAGAGCTGGGTGGGGAGCCGACAAGACAGAGTGATCCCAGATAGCTGCTTTCAGCACAACCCTCAAAAGTCCTCGAGGGCCAGTGGGCTCCACGCCTGAAACCAGCTTTCAGGAACCCTGACTCTCAGCGGGTCTGCCCTCTTCCGGGCACTGGGCACATTGCTACCAAGGGTCTAGCCCTAAATGTCTGCTTCCAGTTTACCTCTTGAACTGAGCAATGTTTTGTGAAGTGCGGCCCTGGGATCACTTGCATCAGTTTCCCAGACTCTAGGACCTGCAGCACTGCTTTGTGAATTGCAGCGTTCAGGATCTTGGTGAAACACAAGCTTCTCATTCAGGAAGGGGCTTCGAACCACCTCCCAGGTGATGCAGCTGATCTAGCAAACACCCTATGAAAGAACACAGGATCCTCCACTGCTTCGTAAAACTGCAAATTTCCTGGCTCCACCCAACTGAATAAAACAGCTTACATCGGAAGTGGGACTTGAGTCTGCAATTTTAACAAACACTCCAGATATAAGTGAGCAAACAAAAACCTGATTAGCCCTTCTCTAAGCCAGGAGATTTTTAAATGTTCGAGTTAAGTGGGTTTGGTTTGAGTTTGTCTCTGTGGCCCCAGAACCTAGCCTGAGTCCTGCTGTCGAATAATGTGTGTTCAGTTAATCTCTGCTGAATGAACGAGCAACTCAAAACACTCAAACCCCTAAAACATACCCAAACTTACCTAATAAAAGTTTGGTTTTGTCTTTGCACTCTGGCGTATTCCAAGGGTTGTTGCAAGAACCCCAGGGCAGCACGGACACAAAGGAGGCAAACAGGTAGAAAAGTGTGTAGCAAATGATCACATTGTAGTATATGGCTATTAGGACGGAGATGATTAGCATCGCGATGCCACAGCCTGTGGAAGCAAAAATTCCAGGGTTCATTCCAGCCCAAGGGCAAGGGCATTCTTACAGTGGGGCACAGGGTGGCCATCCAGGTCTTGACTCTTGTATGGATGGGAGCACTAGCAATGGAGTGGACTCTATGTCCACCAGGGACATGAGACATTCTGCAAGGGCCTCAGGAAGGGTGGACATGATCTTGGACCATTCTTCAGAAGGATCAGATGTAGCAAGGACGGTATGAGTTCTCTTGATGAGCTCTCCCTCCCCAGGGTGGTGGTGGCAGAGAGGGCCAGATAGGAAAGCTCAGAGGCTCTCTGGACTCACCTTGCAGAGCTGGGATAGCCTTCCACACAGACACTGGCCCCTGGCTGGCAAACTGGCCCAGGGACACCTCTAGGAAGAAGATAGGCAACCCAGCCAGTGCCAGCATCATCAGGTAAGGGATGAGGAAAGCACCTTGGGAAGAGAGAGTGAGGAGTGAGAGTGGGAGGTAAAAACAGGGCTCTGGCCCACCTTAACCCTCTGCAATAGGGGCTGGGCTTCCTCTCAGGACACTAAAGCGTGACTGAGCTCCTTTCTGGAGAAGCTTCCGCCATTCCAGCTCAAGAGGCACCCAGGAGGCACTTTAGAGACCACCTCCAAAAATCGCAAGGGTACACACGCAAATCCCTGTTTCAATTTCCCATTATGGGCTAGTGGTCTTTTATTCTTCAGAACACTTCCGTTTCTCCAAATTCAGCCCTTCTGGGGTTCAACAAATCCATGCCTTTGACTCAGTACTGCAGGCGGATCTGGTGAAGTCTGTCAGAGGCGGCCTCTCAAGCACCTGAGGTCTGCCGAGCTAGACTCTGGGATGCCCATCCCTCCCCACCCAGCGCCACATGGCTGTGGCTCTCAGCCTCTTGCTGCGTAAGAGCGATCCTCCCAGGTACGTCAGGTCTCCCTGCTCGGTCTCCCTCCCACGTCCTCCACAGAGCCCTCTCTCCAGACAGGGCTGCTGATATTCACACTGGGGTCCTGTCTACCCCGGGAGCCGCTGAAGCTGGCTCCCTGGCACCTCCGCAACCCTCCGGGTGGCCACCCTACCACACAGCACCTGGAGGTTGTCTGGGTTCTCTAGGGCTCTTTCCCGTCAAGGATTCTTGGGAGGGCCTTGGAGAATTGCCAGGACCTTTGAAAAGGTTTTGACCAGGAAATGCGGGAGCTTGGGCCGGGGGCAATGCGGGAAGCAGAGAGGGTGGGGACCAGCCCTTGGCGCTGTAAAGGAAAGCTGGTCCTTCCCTGGCCCCGCAGGGGCGTCACCCCTCTCCCACCTTCCTGTCCCTTTCCTGCGGGGGTCTCCAGGCTGGGAAGGCCCAGCAGCAGACACGGCTGGGGCGGAGTAAAACTGGGGAGCCTGCTTGGTCCTCTCTGGATAGCGTTCTGGAGAAAGATGATGGTGCCTTCCTCCTGCTCGGGAGGAAGAAGGGGCGAGCCCTCGCCCGCCCGCGTAGATGCTGCCGGGCCGAGCCGCAGGGCGCGAAAGGGGGCACTCAGAGCCCGGGAACCCTCCGGGCGGGCGCGCGCACAGCACCGGCGCTGCCCTGGGCCAGAGCCCTTCTGCTCCCCCCCACCTGCATCCGGCCACTACCCCCCTCCAGGCCCCAGAAGCCTAATTCTAGCGCCTCCCGCCTGCTGCTTCGGACTCCAGGGTCTGAGGACTCCCGGGGGAAGAGCAGAGGGAAGCCCCGCTGGGCGCTGCTTCGCAGGCCTGCACTGAGTCTTCCGTTTCCAGGGCACCCCCGGTGGCAAAAGCTCCGCAGTGCTCCTAAGTCCTTGTCCACGCGTCCTACTTAGGAATGGGGCGGGGAGGGGGGGCTCCACCTATGTTTCCCACTTAATCGCCTCCTGGTGAAGCCCCTGTCTCTCCTTGTGCACCTGATTTGGCCTGGAGCAGACCCAAAGGACAAAAAGTAAATTAAAAATTTGTAGAAAACTGTAGGGTGAGGGGGCCCCTTCTTATCCCTGTGGGCTACATGAGAAGGTGTGGGATTTCTCGGTGGAAATTCCCGTGCCTGGAGGGCGACTTGTCAGTCAGCGGACGGGGTGGGGGCGGGGGGCAGGCAAACCTAGGGACCTGGCTGTGACGGGCCCCTTCCAGGTGTGCGCACAAAGAGGTACAAGGGAGTCAAGTGGCCCAGCTGCTGGAGAATGCCTGGCATCTTCCCAGTGTCTAAACAATGTCCATTCAAAAGCGGAGTCCTTCACCCAGTTAGGACAAATGGAAATGACTTTGCTAAAATGCAAACATGCCTAGGGAGGGGCTGTGCTGGGATGGGGCGGCCCAGCCTCTCCCAGGACGCGCCTCCGGGCTCTCCTACACCCTCCCTTGCATACCACCCAGGGCTCATTCTCAAAACATCTCCTGTGGAGACTCAGATTTCCAGGACCTTTTCCATGAATGTTGAGATTAGTTCGAGTCTGCAGTACACAGAGAGAGCCTCCATCGTGAGGGGCTGGCAGATGCGTCCCACAAACCTTCTTTGTTTTACTCCCCTTCCATCTCTGGACCCCTTTCCCATTTGCAAAAGTTCCCTTGTGTGAGAAACCCAAAGTATAAATAATTTAAAGAGCAAAATAAAGGAGGGAAAATAGATGAATCAGAGAGTCTTTTGCAAATGGGAAAGAGATTTTCAGGTTCTGATCTTATAATATCCTTCCTTTGGGCCTGGCTCCAGGACTGTACAGCTACTGGCTTGCGACTCCACCAGATGCCAGGAGGGCTGTTGATTCCTAAATATTAGACGGCCAGAGTCCAAGCCTCCTGGTCAGCGTTCACTTGGCTTGGCACCCAGTCCTTCAAATGGGGCCCACGAGCCCCACCTCCTGAGCCCCACCTGCAGATGACAGTACCAACCCAGTCCCAGGGTCACTCCTGCCCTCCTTTGGCTCAAGCGTGCAGGGAAGGGACGAGAGTTTGCAGAGGCTCCCCAGAGCTCCCCACTGCCCCTGCCTAAGGGCTCCCGGTTCCCTCCACCCCCACGCCCACCCCACCGGTGGAAAGAGCTGAAAAGCCGTACCTCCCCCGTTCTGGAAGGCCAGGTAGGGAAACCTCCAGACATTGCCCAGCCCCACTGCGTACCCCACCATGGACAGGATGAAGTCCAGTTTGCTGGACCAGTTCCCTCGAGCCTTATTCTCATCCCCTTGCTCGTCCTCCTGGGGGCGGAAAAGCACATGGTCGGATAACAGCCCCAGTGGGTGGGTCACAAGCAGGCTCCGTTCCACCCCCCCACAGTCTTCCCAGCAAGCAGACCCCCACTTTTCATCCGAGGATGCAGAGGATGCATCGGCAAGCAGGACCCCAACTCCAAAGACAGGATGCACCTCCAAGCAGGTCCCTCACCCTGTAAGCCTGCACTGAGAGTCTTGGCAAGCAGCTCCAATGCCGATGTGCGGATCCATCTTGAACAGAGCCCTAACCCTCCTCCCCAAGTCCTAAGTCAGGGGCCACCAGCAAGCAGCTCCCCCCAAACTTTGAGACAGTAGGTTGATTGCAAGCAGATCCCTCACCCCCAATCCCTCACCAAGAGTTCATTTGGCAAGCAGGCCCCCAACATCATGCCTGGAGTTCCCAGCAAGCACGTTCCCATCAACTCCCCAAAGCCCAACTTCCTGGCGCCCCTTCCTCGGCCCTTTATTCTCCGACATGTGCGCCAAGGCCAGGAAGAGCTGCAGTGCTTAAAGCCAGCCAGGCCCCTGCCACTCACGGTCCCTGCCAGAGCCTATGGCAAAACCTGCCGGGTCAGCTAATTCAGAGGCAGTGTCTTTCTCGCAGGGCAAGGGAGTCGGTCGAGATGGAGATTTGGAGGTGGACTGAGAGAGGACAGGGAAGTCGGCAGGAGAAGAGACAGGCCACCTGGAACCTTGAGCTCTAGTCGAACCTTTATTACCAACCACACAGATAACTAAGATGAGGGGCTCAGCACAAAGGTCCCCTGAGGCACCAGCCAGCTCCGGCACTCGGGAGTCTGGATTCGCTTCTCTGATTTCACACCATGGTGCTTTCTTGGGACGGTACCTAGTTCTGGGACACCTCGCTCCTGAGCTGAAAGGCTGGGATGAGGCCACTGCAGCTGAGCCCGCCCTATAGGCGCTCGCTCACCGGGGACACCGCAGGAACCTTCCAGCTCCTCGGTCACCCTCCTCCTCCTACTGTAACAACCTGGGCTGCCCCGCACCACCCTGTGAGCCTCAGAGGATGGACAGCTGCTGTCGGGCCGGATGGAAGGTGCTCTTGGGGACAGAGAAAGCCAATGGGGAGGGTGTCCAAAAGGCACAATCAGAAAGACGGGCAGAGCTGAGCTAAAGAGCTCTCCGGGGGTCTGAACACCTTTAACCCTCCCCACACTCCTCCCTCACACCTGTCAGCTCCACCCTAGCCCCACCCTCCCATCCCGGGGCTGAAAGGGTAGGAGTTTCTGCCCTTTTTGCCGCAGTGCGCAGTGCGGAGGTTAAGCAAGGCCTGTGAGGCCCACGTTCTATTCCACCTGGGGTCACACAGTGCAGCTAAAATACATAGACCAGCGATGTAGGAATAGGCCCCAAAAGCAAGGTGAGGGGGACCAGCTAAATTTATGTTCATTTCTAGGTATTCTAACAGTGAGCTCCCGTCGTGGGGGCCTGTGGGTAAGTGAGAAATGCAGGTGCGTGCGTGCGTGTGCGTGTGCGTGTGTGTGTGTGTGTGTGCACAAACACTAGAGTGACTGATCTCACGCAGGTGTTGGGCCCGGCTGCCTTCTCCCTACCGGAGACGCATCTTGACCCTGAGCCCAGAGGAAGTAGAGGTCAGGGCAGGCGGGCAGTGGGCAAGGAGAGGGAACAGGATGAAACGGGACAATGAAAGACGGGAGAAATCGGGGGGATGGAGACGAATGGGAACAAAGCCTTGCGGTCCAGGGGAGGGGACCGGCCTCTCCCTAACCCAGGCTTCGGCTCTCTGGGTTCCTCGGGGCTCAGGTTGAGTGACACCGGGTCAAATGGAGGGGGAGATCCAGGTGGGTGGGTATGAAGCTGGTACCACGGGAGGGGTCCACGTCAGGGGAAAACGCAAAATTACGATGGCAAGGTTAGGCACCAGGTACCCGGCCTTGGGAGGCATGGGGGGCAAGATTGCGGAAGCTTAAGCGTCAGTGAGGTCTCCTGTGTTTCTCTGCAATCAAGGAAAGGGTTTAGGCCCAGCCACCGACAGGGGAGGGGCGTCCTGACTGCACAGGGGCAGAATCTGACGGCCTCGGCTGCCTCTCCCCTCCTGCCCCGAACTGAGGAGCCAGCGCAGCGTGAGCTTCCGAAGCCCCCCAAGCCGCCCCGCTCCGCCCCGGCTCTGCGCCCCAGTCGCTCAGCACTCGTGCACCCGCCGGGGCTGCGGCCCGCGCGCGCCGGACACGGGGCCCGCTTACCTGTGCGCCAGCGGAGGCCACGCTGCCCGGCAGCACCGAAGCGATTCCGTCCGAGCCCAGCACCACGGTGCTCTGGCTCATGTTTACCCAGCCCACGGTAGCGGTGTTGTTGCGCTCCAGCGTGCCCTTCCCCACGCTCACGGTCGCGTCCCCCTCCGGGCCGCGCAGAGCCGGGATCTTACAGGCCAGCGCGTTGCCGGGCCCTTCGCTTGAGTCCCGCGGGCCGCTGAGGCTGCAAAACCCCACTCCCTGCCGCTCGGCCTCGCAGGCTCGCGCGTCCGCGGACTGCAAAGTGTGGGCGCCGGTGGATGCGGACCTGGGCACGCGGGGCGGCGGCGCGGCGGCCGCGGGGAGCTCCTGCTCCGGGCTGGTCCTGGGCGCGCACGGGCTGTCCCGGGGACCCGGCGCCGCGGCCTCCCGGCTGCTGGCTGGTTGTTTGTTCATGTCCTTGGGGGCACTGCAGTCCTGCGAACACAACGTCAAGTTCGTGCAAAAGAAAAGAAAGAGAGTCACGGCAGCTTTAAAAACAATCTGTATCTGCAAACGGAAACGTTCACAACTCAGGTCCGAACATAGCCCGGCTGTCAAAGGGAATCGGGATTTTATTCTTTTCTCTCGCCACTGCAATCAGTAATTCTCAATTTTCCAGTCTCCTTCATCACCAGATGATACAAAAAGGCTAATATTCCCTCCCAGACAGAAGACGAACTAAGAAAAGAGGCAAAAATGTGTTTTTGAGGTGGGTGGACATAGTCCTACCCAAAGCCAAGGGCTCCCTGCCCTCTTTGGCTTTCAAGTCACGGCTGTGGGGTGCCTGCCTCCCCACCACCATTGTAGAGAGATTCTTTAATTTTCCGCCCCATTTCCTTTGTCATTCAACAATGCACATTGCATTTTCCCCCCGGTAGACAAGCTGTGGCCACAAAGCTGATATCCTGGCACCAGAGAGAGCTCCAGGCCACATTGGTGGTGAGAATCCCCGCACTCCATACCCACCCCTGCCTGCCAGGTACCAAAGGCAAGCGTAAGGGTCACAGTCAAAACAACACTAACCAAAACGCACAAGAGCAAGAACAAACCAGATTTAGAAAGTAGTGACCTTGTTTATCGAACACAACAACCTACGCGGACTTCCAGCTCCCCAGAAATGTGTAAGAACATACAAAGTTTTCCGTTTGTTTTTGCTTCCCCTCTAATATCTGTCATGTCCCTATTCTTGACTAGGGACAAAAACTCGCGAATAATTTTCATCCATTTTCTTCTAACTGACTCTCAAATGAAAAGAATCGCTAGCCGTGGTTTTCCATCTGCTTGCTCTCCTCGGTCTTTCTCGGCTTCCGACCCATGAGCCCTAATACTTATTGTTAAACAGTAAGAGCAATCACAGGGCCGTCACCTCGGCTTCGTGCTTCTCGTCGCACCCCGTTCACAAATGCATAGATCAGAGCTCTCATTGGGACCCGATCCGAGTACCTCAGCTCCAGCCAGCGTTCCTGTCTGTGGGCCGGTGGAATCCAGAGCGACTCTCCGGGGTCCCGGCGCCTGGCTTTTCAGCACCTCGGACAGCGCCCGGGCTCCAGTCCTGGGCCCTCCAGTTCTCCGGCCTGGGAAATCTTTCAGACCTCGAGCGGACACTCGCAAACACAAACACAACTACGGCTGCGAGAAGCATCCTCCTCGCTCCCTCGTGCTCAGTGTACAGAATTGCAGAAAGAAATATCCAAAAACGAGCCCGCCCTTCCTATCCCGCTAGCCCCTTCCCCTAGAAGAACAGAAGCCGACACTTACCATGTCTGACACTGGCAAGAGATGAGCCCGTGGAGTGGAACCCGCTATGGACCAGGCTAGGTTCTGCTCTGGCAGTACAGGCGCTTTCTATATCTCCTCGGGAAAGGCCAGGTTTGCGTCAGTGCAAGGCAAGGTGCCCTTCGGTTGACATCTTCTTGATAAGACGAGTTTGATAAATCATTACCCCTTTGGATTCGCGTTTTAAAGGGACAACAGCCTAGAGTACGCTGGCCAGTCGTCACCGGGGCAGGAGGGGGCTGCGTGTTGGTCGTGACTCATGTGGGGCTGATTACTAAACCAAGCCCGGTGGGAGGGGACCACAAAACTTTGCCTCCTCCTAATTAAGGGAAGCAGGGGAGGGACACGTCCCACTGCACCTAAGGCCAGGCCAGCGCGCAGCCGCCTGCAGAGCGGATGGGGATGTGAGGGTGGAGGCGGGGGAGGGGATGAGACCCCCACCGTGTCTCTCTCTCCCACTAAATTCTGTTGCTGTCTCCCCATCTTCAGCAGATTCCAAAATATCAACCAGAAAGCGACGCAGGGTCTGCTAGCCCTTGGCCCCACGGCTCCACCACGGCTGCTTTAGGCTTAGGCCCTCCATTTCCAAGGTGGTGTCCACCTGCTACCTCCTGGCCCTCCCAGAGAACCAGTTCGGAGGCACCGTGGATTCGCGCTTTGCAACTGGGATCTGGCATTTGCACTCTTGTTTCATCTCGTTAAACACTATTAAGAGAAAATCCCGAATACAACTGGCTGTTCTTGTTGTGTTCTTAGGCTCTCCTGGAAACATTTTAGGGAAATAAGCAGGAAATTATTTCCGACACTGATTCTAGGACCATTTTTTCAAAGTCAAAGGGAACCCATTCTTTCTTCGTAGCCCTCTTAATAAAAATTCACCCAAGCAGATCTGGTTTGACTGCGGAGACTCTTAGACCCCTCCAAATCAAGGTCCCCAGCAACCAGGGGACAGGAGGAGGACGGTCGGGGAAAGCGCAGGGGGCTGGGGCGGCCATGGCAGTGGGAGGAATTTCCCTGTCGGTGCAAAGCCACGGCTGATAAAAAAGGAAAACACTCCCCCGAACACGTCGTGTGCAGACTGGAAGGGGATTCTCGAGGAAACGCTTCCCTCCTCCTTCGCCCGCCTAGCTCCGGAAGCCCTGGCCTGGGATGAGAAGCTACAGAAAGCCTTGCGTGCCTTCCCCGCGCCTGCCAGAGCCTGGTCTCCGCCTTGGGGTCAGCGCCGTCGCACCCCGCTGGGCAGTGGACACGCGGCAGCCCGGCCGGAGGCCGCAGCAGCAGATTGCAGCGAGCGCCCGGGGCCCTGCGGCCTCCCCCTCCCGCCAGCGCCAGTCCCGGCGCAGCCGGCCGGCTGGAGGCCCGCGGCGGTGGGAGGGGACGGGTTTGCTGCGGACCTTGCCTCCGCGTCGCCTTGCGATTTCCAGGCTGCTCTTGATCTGGTTTCGAACGAACATTACTGCGATCTCAGCATCCGACCGTAGTGCAAGGGCTGTGCAAGACTCGAGCGCGCTTGGCACTGAGTGCAGCCTTAGGAAGCGCCCCCGTTTTAACCTTGTGTTCGTGTGTGTTTGCGGTACGTCGCGAGGAATTGGTACACAGACATATTTACTGAGTCTCGATTCTTTTCATTTCCCCTTCCCCTCCGTCCCAGGTTTCAATCTGTGGAAACTCTGGGAGGCCGACGTCGCCCCTGACCACCTCCCTCAGGGCGGGAAACCTGGCAAGGCCGGGAGGGAAAGCGCGGGGCCTGCGGGGCGCTCCTTCCAAGCAGACCGAGGCCGAAGACGGGAGACGGCGGGGCTGCCAGGCCCAGCCCGCGCGGCTCCCTCTGCGGCCCTGGACGGGCTCCACGCGGACGGTCACAACTCGCCAAGGTCTGGACGTGTGCAGGTCGCATCCCAGCAGCCCCGCGAAGGGCAGGGAGCAGGAGCCCCCGGGAGCGGGCCTTGCCGCATCCCCGGCCACGCGCGCCCTGGGCTCCCGCGTGGGGCGGCCGCGAGTCAGGCGCCGCGGAGGCGGGCGCGCTCGGGGGCGGGGAGGCGCTGCAGGCTCGCGGCGCCGCCCCCACTTCCAGCCGCAGGATTCCGGAAAGGCGGGGCCGCGGGGACCCAGGCGGATGCGGACGCGCAGGGGGCGGCACCGGCGGGGCGGGCGGGATCCTGCGAGGAGACGGGCCGAGTCCGGGCAGCGTGTCCGCGTGGGGCGCACGGAGCTGCTGCATGAAAGAAAGAGAGAGAGAGAGAGCGTGAGCGAGCGAGCCGGACGCCCTCGCCTTCGCCGCCTGCTCCGAGTGATAATCCGACCCGCGCGCCGCCGCCCGGGAGGCCGTAAATCCACATCCATCACGGCGCAGCCATTCGGTCGGAATTAGCCAGTCACCGCGGCTTTAATTACTTTGTCAAAGATGAAAAATAGTAATTGATTTTTTCCTCGATCCCTCTCTGTGTACCTCCCCCTCCCCTTCTTTGCAGATAAGCAAATAAATAGCTATTTGCGAAAGCCCGCGTCCCCGGGCTGGGCGGGGGAGTCGAGCTGCAGTCGGGCGGGCCGGCCGGGGTGGCCTGGCCGCCTCCTTCTCCCCCGGGCCAGGAGAGGACAGAGGACGGAAAGCACAGGGTTTTACAGCGGCGCTGGCACCTGCTCCTCAGGGCCTCGGGCAGCAAGAGAGAGAGGCCTGTGCGGGCTGACAGAGGCGGGAAACTCCCCGGGCGAGCCCACCCACTGCGGGAGCCCCTGGGACTGTTTTGCAGGCGATTGTAGCTAGGCCACACCTGCAGGCCTACAGGTGCTGACGAGGGCTCAGAGTGGCTTTCAGCTGACATTGCTGTTAGTCAAGAAGCCACGCAGTGTTTCTGTCCCACTTGCCTACCGCCTCCCACTTCCATCGCAGTTTTTTTTATGCTAAAGATGTGGATCCTGCAGACAGACTGCACCACCTCCCTGCTCCGTGACCTTGAAGGACGATTCCAGGGAGGTCAGATGAAATCACCTGCTGGGGAGGGGTGCGTGAGGGGGTGCAAGGAGCGTCTAGCACACCTGGTGTGCTTGCCATAAGCTCTTGCTCTTGCTCAGTCACAATGAATCATGCATTTGGAGCCCTACAGACTTTGCAAAACCTGTTCTTTCTCCCTAGTCCAGAAGGCATAAGCTGAGTGTACATATATAGAGCAGAAAATCTTACGAAGTGGTTAATCACTGTGCCCCACTTCCTCCTCATTCAGTGTTGTGGGCACCCAATAATCAAGTATTTACCTTTAATGAAAAGAACATTAAGTGGATCTCAGGTAAGTATGCAAACACAGAAGCTATGTGTCCTGAGGCACCTTTTGCTTGGATCAAGATAAATCTCGACTTAGACTCACTACCCAGTTCTCATGGAGATTCCCGGTATCAGGCGGACATCAATTAATCGAATCAAGCTTCCCTCACCAGAGCTCTGAAGAAGACTCCAGACTCCGAAATCAGGGGTTTGGCTAAGTAACTCATCTGTGTGCAAAACGTAGGTTCAAAATCCAGGGAGCAGACAGGCGGAACACTAGCTCCTGAGTCAGCAGTATCAGCCCCTCCCACTTTGCTGCAGCAAGACAGGGAACAGCGGGCCCTGGGTGGGGAAAGGTGCCCGAGGTCATCCGTGACACCACGTGCCTGCTTTGCCAGTGAGACAAGAAGAGTCAAGGAGGAAAGATGAGCCTTCAAGGTCACTAGGCGTATTAGAAACAAAATCTAGCATATATGTCTGTCTTTGACCCAGCAATTCCATGCTCAGGACTGTTTGAAAGAAATAAAAAACAACCCACAGGGCGAGAATGCTTACGACAGTGTAATGGATAAAGTGAAAGCCTGGGGAGAAAAGAGAGGAGAGAAATATCACATTAGATTGATAGTATATCTATAGCATGGAATCAATAGGCTTTAGAAAGAATGAATTAAGCCAGGCACGGTGGCACACGGCTATAATCCCAGCGCTCTGGAAGGCTGAGGCAAGAGGATGATGAGTACCAAAGCCCTAAGTTCAAGCCCCAGTACCAACAAACAAAACAAAAAACAAAGAAAAGAAAAGAAGAACAACAAAAAAATTAGAATCTTATGGAGCCTGGAGAGATTTTTCATGAAGCATTGGGAAAATCCAGATTCCTCAAAGTATATGAATAATTTGATCCTATTTTTTGCAAAATAAACAATAACTAGTGCTCTGTATTTGAGGGCATTCCTAAAATGTGGAAGCACACATGCATAGTAGATAGTGGAGAGGATTAGTGTTCCTTGTAGACAAAGTGCAGGCTAATGTGAGCAGTGTGTGGGAGGGGGGCAAAAAAGCAAAAGGGGGAGAAAGACCGTACTTTACAAAAACTGGTTGTAATAAGCATATTTATAACATTACATTGAAAGGTGTATACAAATCTTAAAACATTCATTACTGGAAGCTGCTGCCTAAGAATATTCACCAAACACACTACTTTCATTAGGAAATATTAACCTTCCATCTATTTTACTGTCTTTCTCTGAGGAGTAGAGCTCAGAAAAATGAATTCAGTTAATTAAGCATCCCAACTACCAGTATTTGGCTAATCTTCCTTCCTCAAGTCCTCCTGTTTCCATCTCCTGGCTCAACTGGAGTGGAACCAAGGCCTGATTAAGACCTTCCAAGGACACAGCCTTGGAATATACAATGCTGATTTCCCCCCTCCATCCTGTCTCTGGAATGTACACTTAGCCATAAAATCATTTAAATTAAAATTTCACCAAACTGAAAATTTCTGATTCTTAATTTTTCCATTATGACGTCAATATTTTTCTGATGAACATCATATGATCATCTCCGCTCCCTTTTCTTAACTATTTTTCTGGTAGTCCTGTTTACTTATTGTATCCATTTGATGTAACTATTTAGCAATCTTAGTTCAAGGGTAAATCTTTTCTGTTTATCCCATTCAAAGTTCTGAAACCCCAAAATGGAAGATGCTACCCTTCTAATAGAGGTCAGGGCTCCACTATATTCATGATTGGAAGGAGATTTTTAGTACAGGAAGTACAAGTGAACTAATATCTTGTGTCTGCAGTGTCGTGGTGTTGGTAAATAAGATTCTGTTTCTTTCTTTCTTTTTCCCCTGGTCCTCTATTGCTGTCCTAGTTAGCAGGGAAAAAGTTTGGGTTCCACATCAGGCAAACTTAGCAGG